CTTGCTGAACTGGCTGCAGTCATGGTAGGATTTGGAGACCTTGAAGCCAATGCTGTGGCACAAGCAGCCCTCTGCCCATTCACCATCTTAGATGGGGGAATCTTGTCCACAGACACTGATCCATGAGACGGTAAAGGCCTCTGCATCAGCAACTGAACTGGAGACTCAGAAGAACTATGCACAAATAGCTGCTGCTGCTCAGTTCCTGAAACGGGCTGTATCCTAATTATCTGGGGATTAATAATGCCAAGTCCTGGTATGCTAGAATTCCTACCAACTGGCTGACTCAGCGTTATAGTTTTGGACTGGATTGGTGCCAATGATGTCATTGGCCCTTCAGTTTCCTTCATCTGTCCTGGCTGAACTTGGACACAAATGGCTTCCAGCTGCTTTTGTGGAAAAAGGAAGAGTTGCAATTACACAAACACAGTATTAATAAATAAATACAATACTTATCGAGATAATACAGATGTGCCCTTAAAGCAAAGTGTGAAGAAACCACTGCACATCATTAGCTTTCCATTTTAATGCATCAAAGCACGGATTCCCTTCCTTCAAGCTACGGGTTTTCCTGCACATCATTTGCTGCTGTGACTGCTGTTGAATTAAGCATGTAAAGGTTGCTCTGAGGCCATGCCAGAGCTTTGTTTCCTGAGAGCAGACCTGTCTGAATAGCAGAGTCAATGCCATCACCAAGGCACATTCATAACCTTCAGCAAACCCCACACACGGAAAAACTACAGTCTGCTACATGACACAGGCCAAATACCCAGTTCCAGGACATACTATAATGTGTTCAGTTCACAAAAACTTTGTGGTGATGATTCACAGAATCAGATGTTACTGTTCATCCCCCTCACATTTTCTCTGCCTCAGTTCAAATCAATCACTTCACAACCTGCACCCAAACGTGGGTTGAAAGCCCAGGTACTGTCATCTGCAAGAGGCATGCAGTAACTTCCTATGTATCACCACTTAACCACTACAGCTCTTCTAAACTGTTCTTGGCTGCAAGTGTTGTCAGACCGAAATAGTGACCACAGCAGCTATTAGCTACATTCAAACACGGATTTTTTCTAAACCGCATTGAAAGCTGTGCCTTAGAGCTATAGGACAGGTGGCCACCTCCCGAGGGCAGGTGTGACTGAGGAGAACAGCAAAAAAAAAAAAATTACTGAAAAGGATTAAACCCGCCGGAGCCGCGGCTTTCATCACTAACGGAGCACCGCAACCTCCCTCCCACCCAGCCCCCGGGGTTACCTTCTGTGGGAGGAGGCGGGCGGCCGCCGCGGCCCTGCCCTGCTGCAGGGCGACCTGCTGGGCCACGCTCTGCAGCTGCCGGGCGGCGTTCTGCATGATGCCGCCCGCGGGGCAGGGCTGCGGCAGGGGCGCGGCGGTGGCCGCCGGCTTCAGCTGCTCCTGGGCCTTACTCACTTGCTCGATGACCCGCCGCAGCTCCGCGGGGGCCAGCGGCGCGGCGGCGGGACGGGGCAGCGGGGGCGGCCCCGAGCCATCCAGCAGCCGCCGCTGCTCGCCGGCGCTCAGCCCCGCGCCCTCTGCCGCGCTCCCGTCCGCCCGCAGGTACAGCACGGTGCCGCTCGCCGCCCCCGCGCCGGCTTCCAGGGCGGCCAAGCTCTGCACCAGCTCCTCCGTCACCGCCAGCAGCTCCGCGCCGCTGCCGCCGCTCTCCTCTCGCCCCGCCACCGCCGGGCCGGGGGCAGCCCCGCGGGTCCCGGGGGGCTCGTCCTCAGTGGGTGGAGGGGGCGGCAGCGCCCCGGCGCCCCCCGCCCCGGGAGCCGCCATCTTGGCAGGCGCGGGCGGGCGGGCGCCGCATCGGCGGCTGCCCCCGGCGGTGTCGGCAGCGCGGGCGATGCGCGGGGCACCGGCAGCGCCCGCCGCGCCCCCCGGGGCGGGGCCGCCCGGAGCCGACGGCGGCTCGCGCGGGCAAAAACCGGCGGAGGTGCGCCCGGAGCTCCTGGCCCCGGGTGGGGTTGGAGGTGGGACCCGCGGGCGGAGTTACCGTGAGTTGGGTTTCCCCTCCGCTGTTCAGATTGAATCTATACCGCGTGTCAGTACGAGCGGGACATGGAGCTCTCAGAGCGGGTACAGTGGAGGGCAATGGGGGATAGTTGCGGGACTGGAGCGTCTGTCTTACGAAGAAAGGACGAGGGAGTCGCACCTTTCCAGCCTCTTGAAAAGACAATTCGGAGGGGACCGCATGTCTGTGTATAAATATCTAAAGGGGCTTGTGCCAAGAGAATGGATCCATGCTCTTCGTAGAGCTGCCAACCTCTTGGAAACGAGACAACTGGCAGAAACTGATGCACAGAAAGTTCCACCTGAACATGCGGAAGAACTTAACTGTGCAGGTTACCGAGCACTGAAACAGGTTGCTCAGAGAGATTGTGGAGTCTCCCTCAACTGGAGATATCGCAGACCAGTCCGGACGCAATCCTGAGCCATGTGCTCTAGGACAAGTCTGCTTTAGCAGAGAGGTTGGACGAGTTGCGGTCTCCTCCAACGCGACCCATTCTGTGAATGTGCGCTCCGCCACTCGCTCTTACCGGGCGGGATTTCGGGCGCCTGTCACGCGGGAAGGACAACCCCTCCAGGGCAGAAAAGAGCCTGAAGGGGCCACCCGAGCACGTTGCAGCCGCCCGCGCAGAAACACAAATCCGCGCTCTGCCGGGCTCCATCAGCCACAGGAGCGCGGTGAAGCTCGGTCCGTGCTGCAGCCGCCCTGGGTGCTCGAGCCCCGCACAGACAGACACACACACCGCCCCTCCTCACGCCGCGGCCGTGCCCCTGTGCAGTGGGTCACACCGCGTCTCATCAGAACCGCGTGAGGTGGGTGGGAATCGCTCGGACGAATGGGAGAGACGAAAAAAGAAGAAAAAGGGAAAAACAAATTTTCTGGCCCGTACGGGGATCGAACCCGCGACCTTGGCGTTATTAGCACCACGCTCTAACCAACTGAGCTAACCGGCCAGCTGGTGGTGTAGCCGTCTCTTGGGCAAATAAAGATAGACCAAACTCAATGTTCACCTTTTGGCCGGACTAGAGAAGGCGACAAATTGGGTGAGGAATTTCCTTGTCCCCGGTAGCGCCGGAGCCAGGCCCCTGCATATAGAAACACACGCTTAATTCCTCAGCAAAACCAAAAAGTAAATCGGAAAACTCTTCCATGCCTATGGAGAGATGCAGCGCCTGGTAGAGAACAACCATAACGCGGGATCGGGGGCAACTCTGCCTCTAAATTAATAGGCTACTACTTCTTCTAGTTTACTGAGATATGATTCTAGTTTCTTTTAGTTAAAATATCCGAACATTCTTTAAAAGCATCTACTATTCCGTTTAACGCACTACTAGGATCTTAGTTTGCATGGGCAAACAATTCACCTCTTCCTAGTGTTTTGATTTTTGCATAGGCTGCATAGAAAAGAGAACTCTTCTGCTCAACTTTGAAGCCTACGTTAAAGCACAGGATGTCCGTTTAGCAAGAGGCAAACACCGCAGGACAGGGAGGGGAATGACACAGCTCTCCAAAATGTAGGTTTTTGGAGACAGCTTGGTGAGGAAAACACAGCCCCTGGTCTCTTTCTGGCACTTCTCTATGCCGGTCTGGCAGTACGGCTGCTCTCCCCATCCCGCAGTGGCGCGCAGGATCCGCCAGGGATCAGGCCATCACCGGGGATGAATCTGAGCCGGCCGAGGCGCTGCTCCGGCCGCGGGAGACTTGACTGCAGGCAGGGCCTGCCGCTGGATTTATGGAGCACATCTTTTGTCCCGAGGGCTTCCCTCCTCAACCCCTCACCCACGGGCGGCTCAGCCCCGCCATCTCCGGGGAGTCGAGACCGTGGTGGTGTCCCGAACATGGGGTCGTTACAGGGCGCGCAGCGCCAATTGACACCTCGAGGCGAGATATTTCTGGGTTTTATTCTAGTTTGTGCAAAGCAGGGAGCTAGATGGTAACCCACAAAAGTCTAGCTCGGTGATCATCAAAACTTTACACTTGCTATACCTTTTAACAAACAAAGGCATCAGCATTCCTTGGTTGCTAACCACAAAACTTTTCTATTCATTAGTATTCAAACCACTATTTGCTAGTAGCATCTCATGCTAATTAGTTCGCAGGCGCAGTTCTTTTTTCCAGTTGAGTCTGGGGTGCCTTTTGGGTAGGTGACCAATGGGTTACAATCTCGCACTGCCGAAATTACGTTTCCCCCAGTTACTGCTCTATGCTCCTGACTTCAGTCCTGGTGGCTCTCGTTTACATTGGGATTGTCTTTCATTTTCTTTAAAACAAAAGATTATCCGAGGGTGCGACATCCACAACTCTCCCGCACCTGGGAGCGCACCTGGCGGCACGGACGGGGCGCTGGCACCCCTGTGCACACTGCGCATGCGCCCCTCGGCCGTGCCGTGTGCAGCGGGCCGCGGCGCCGGGCCGGCGCGTGCGCGGTTGCCGGGGCGACTGGAACACATCATGGCGGCCTGAGGGGAGCGCCGGGAGCGGGGCCGGGTGGGCCCGGCCGCTCCTCCGCCAACTTCGGTATCTGCGGACAGAACGGGAGGCACAGTAAGGGGGTACGGGGGAAGGCCTTGAGTCCTTTCTGAGGGGTGGTGCGGGCCTGGAGCCTCCAGGGAGGCTGACGGTCACCGAGGGGGCCGTGGTCTTAGGGAGTACCCGCACTGAGGGGGCCGTAGGTGCTTCTGTAGCCCCTGGAAACACCGTCCCTGCAGCCCGTGGGCAGCTCCTTGTTCTCGCATGCCAACGCTGGTCTCTGCGTCCCACTCCCCGGCAACAGGGTGTCAAAAGGTCTTTCGGCTCCTGCGGGGCATCACCCTGGTTACTGGTGTCTCCAAGCGCTTTCTGAGGAACTGCTAAGTTTTCCTGGTTCGGCTCGCCTTGCTTTCCATTGCTTAGCATCCTTCACATCATCCCGTGTCACACACACCCTGCGCATCTGGCGTGTCTCTGAGTGCAATAATTACTTACCATGGCCGTGAAGCTCAACTTCTTGCTGCTTCCTTCATTTCTTCGGTCATTTCTCTCTTCCCACGCATATCAATGCCACACTTAAACATCATAGCTTATTCTTCCTTAGTATCTTGGCATCTTTGTAACGAAGTGTCTGCTTTAGATTTTTATAATACCCTCTTTTGACTACTGTAGTGCTGTCTTTTTGTGTCATTTATATTAGATTTTTTAATTCTCAGTGACTGTTAATCTTCCACGCTCTCTAGTTACAATGGTTGAGTGTTGTCTTTGAGTTCCATCACTTGCCTATAATTTATATTTAGATTGTTCCTTATTTCCTGGGTTCTATAGCCTCTTGCACATTAAACTCTTATTCTGTTGAATGATTCATGGCCACTTTTTTGGGGTGTTGGATGAGTTCATACTGCTGCAACTTTTTCTTCCCAACCTTTATTTCCCTTTCCACTAACGATTCTAAGCTTGAACGTCTGTGTGTGTTGAAAGAGAGGGGAGGGAGGAGACAGGTTAGATAACAACATCTGTTGTTACAGATGCATGAAAAAACTCTACCCAGTGATTAGGTCTCTTTTATTCTTCAATGTTCTGTGCAAATGTAATTAGAACACTTCCTTTAATTTATCCTCGAAGCTTTCAGTGTTAAAATGCTCATAAAATTTTTAACCTTTCTTTCAGTCTTCATCTTTGACTACAACAAATTCAGGTAATCTAACTGGTAGTAAGTTTTGTTTTGTAGCTGTATGAATTTTCATAGCTTAAAGTTGCCAGGCTCTGACCTGACTTTTTTGTTTCAGCGTGTGTTTGAAGTCTTTTGTTTTGGTGGGTTCTTTTTGTTGCCTGGTCTCTCTCAGGATGCGATCACATCATGATCAGGATGGTGCTGTAGTGGATTTTTAAGAATCTCCAGAAATCTTGGCTTCTGAATGCAAAATAAAAATTTGTTGGTATACCTGAAGTCTAAATTTTATTTCTTCTTATGCTATATAAACTTCTATGCTGTTATTCTTACAATGCCTGATTTTCTTTCAGCTGCTGATTAAACAATAACTTGTCATGTGATCATTATCATTTTGTCCCTAGGAGAAAATCCCTCTTATTTTTGTGACATATTTTGTTCAGAGTTTACACATTGACTTTATTCATCAAAGAGACATTTCAAATAATGCAATTTTCATTCCTGATTCTGCCCTTTATTTAGTCAGTTGAAATTATTCAGGCCTTTGCTTCATTCTTTTCACTGGATGGATCTCATAAGTGCCAGATTAAAGCCTCAGTTGTTGGTTATGTGTGGAGTATTTATTTTGTCTACAGAGCACTCTGTTGTAGGAGAATTAAAATAACAAGCTTTACAGGCTTACATGGAAAAGATATTCAGTGCTGTAAGAATGTTTTAAAATGTGCATAGGATTAAGTCTTTGTACAGTATTAGAATTCTGCAGTTTAAAATTTAAACAACTCAAGTTGTTTTGAGCTCTCCACTGTCATCTGGGCTTCTCTTGTATGTGTAAAATACATTCATAGAAGAAAATGTATAAACATACTCGAGTAGTATAAACATATACTATCTGACTTCTTTAAATACTTGAAGATGTTTTCGATAAATTTGTACAATCATGTTTTCCCCGAATTTCTCTGCCCAAGTACCTTGGTTCATTAACACTATGGCTGGTATGCCAGAGATAAAAAGATCTTATTTTCAGATCATCTGATTTTGAATTTTTTTTTTTTTAATGCCAGAAAATCAATTACTTGCATATAAGAAAAAAATTACAGGTTGGCCATTTATAAGAATAAAAGAGTAAATGAACAAATAGCTAACTTTTTTTGTGTGTCTGTCTTGGGTTTATTTTGGCCCCAGGGCTGGCTCTGACATTATAAGAACATACAACACAGCCAGTGTATTTCTGAGTGGTTATCAGGAGGGTATCAGTTGCTACCAAAAAAATCCATTTATACTGAATTCTGTGAGAGTAGTATTTAAGTAGTCTGAATTTACTATCTTCGTCTTATATTTAGCAATTTATATAGGAAATTAAAACTTAAGGTGGGGATAGAGAACATGGTGGTTTTTCCTGACAAGATGTTATTTCCTCAGTCTCAATTAGTGAAGGCTGAGGATCAGCTTGCTTGAAGCACTAACTGCCCAGTTATCAAATAACAGCCAAAGCAAAACAGTCCTGTGGTCTCCTCCCCACTTCAGAGTCTCTGTCAGAGATTGCCTCCTTTACCCACAATGATTTTCAAATTCAGTTTCCACTTTTAAAATAGCTCTAGATGTAAATTGTCTATATTGAGTGTATTAGATGGTGTGGCTTATTTGAAATTACTTTGCTATTTCCAATTTGTCAAATTTAGGTGGCCTAATTAGTTAATGATGCATCATGATTGATAATGATCAAAAACCAGAACTAGCAGATGATAAAAATGAGAAGAGCACCTCAATAATTCTCATGTGAGTGCTGCTACTGTATTGAAGAAAAAGGGGTTGCAAGGGGAAGGTTTCTACTAATTAAAATACAAGCATTTGGCTCACAAGGAAAGAAAGCACTTTTTTGTTGTTTGGTGAGGTTTTTTTTAAAAAAGAAGCAAGTATAAAAGCTGGGGAGACGAAAAGAGAATAAGAACACAAATTGATTGTTAGTTGGAAGACAGCATTAGAATGTCCTTGCCTAAGTAACTTTTCCCTTTGCAAAATTTCCTGGCAGGCTTTCTCCACTGTAAGGCTGTGTTTATACTTGTAAATTAAACATATCTGGAAATCTTCTGGGAGAAACTGGCATGAAATAGCCCCCATCTCTGCTAGTAAATTCTCTTATCTTCCAAAACAAGGCAGCAGGACAGAAACTGCTGGAGAACTGACCTTAGAAGGAGTCCTCACAGCAGGCAGGGAAGGTGCCTCACAAAGTGCTGATTGTCACAGGCCAAGTCCCTGCCAGGGACTGTTGTCACAGTAGTAACAGGCAGCTACACTGAATTTACTGCTATCACATAGCTTGAGACTCCCAGTTATTCTGACACCCATAAAGGGCTGAATATGATAAAAGAGATTTTCTGCCCTGCCTCCCTCAAAATGACTGGGTTTGCATCTTTCTTGAATAATAAGACCACGTCAAAAGCAACAGCGGCATAAAGCTAACCAGCATTGGATTTTGCTCAGGTGAAATTACTGAAAAAATTATCAAGGATAGAATCTGTAGGTGCTAAAAATAAAAGGAAATAGGAGGATGAGGTGGGTGAAGGGAAATAGGCACTGGGATTGGTAAGGAACAGTTAATCATAAAGCTGAAAGAGAATAAAGGCGGAAAGAAAAAAGTCAATTCTCATGGAAATTAGAAGACCTGAAAATTAGTATACATAAAACTTTTTTGATAACCCTTATCTGCTTCATCTCTTAAAGTTCTGCAGAATTAGAATTGACTGATTTTTCACATACTTGTATTTGAAGCACTTTATTATCAAAGCCAAACATTACTTTTGGCCCAGTGCAAATCTTATATCTGAATTTAATTTGAGAATAAAGCTTTAAAATCAGAAACTGCTTTGCTTAAAAAAAAAAACCAAAAAAACAAACCAAACAACACATCCATAAAAACACCCAATAAATAACCCCCATGTTGGAACAATGATTCTATGATACACTTGCTTTCCAAGATAATTAATTTTCAGTACATTCTAAATAAAGGGAATTTTTTTTGTTTGCTTTTTATGAAAGAAGCAAAGAATAAATTCAGATATGAGTTTCTAATGTGCTGCAGCATAAAAAAAGGTAGGAAGGGCAGTGTGAAGAGGCATCATGTCTCTGAGCAAGGAGGTGGTAGTTTATTGTCTAAGAATTATTGGAATATATATATTTCTGTAATCTGGGCAGCAAAACTTGATTTGCTCTTTTTCATTTTATTTTCTCCCAACTTTATGTTAACAAAATACCTCTTTTATTTGAAAGTTTTCCAATAGTCAGCATTTAACAAGTTAAGTAAGGATTGATAAACAGTCTTCATAACAATTCCAAGCATACTGAAATTATGTCTTTTTGTTTTAAAATACCAGTTGGTAAGATAAGGAGAGGGAACATTTTCTGATGTTCTGGAGAAACTGAGTTTTAGGGAGGGAAAGTGCTATGCAAGTAAACACATGAAGCAACGTTTTAAAAGGTATGCATAATTAATCATGGAAAATCTACAGAAAATCATGTTTAAATTCAGTGAGGGAACACAAAATTAAGACTAAGTAAAGCCTTTTAAGTACACATAAATTAAAAAGGTTTGCATGTGGTACAAAAAGGGGACTCTGCCTTCCTGTTTGGCATGGGGATTATTTCCTTGAGTACTCTAATTGATGCCACCCACTGTATTAAATGGTGCCTGGCCACTTGGTCGAGGGTGAAACAAGATGAATTAGGAAGAAGTATTTGATTTCTGCCTTGCCAAATGCACTGAATGTATTTGTGCTGTTTTTCTTTTAACTGAAAATAATAATTGGAGGAAATGTGTCAGTCCTTTCCTTGGGTAATACTTCTTTCTCTTTAAGTACCTTCTAAATGCAGGTTAAAACCAGTGCATTTATCCTTAGTGTATAGCATCTCCTTTATATTTGCATTTATATTTACATCCATCATCCAAATGTTATATGGTCACAAAATAGGTGCTTTTTATCAGTTAGAAAAATAGAGAAGAGGGCTGTGTATACGTAGACGTAGACTTGGCATTGTCCTCTCCAAGTATATAAGTGCCAGCCAGTGCCTCTTGGGTTACTGATTTTGTATTCTCAGTTAAATACATCAAGTTCCTAATGAAATCACTGGGAATGACTCATTTGTACATACAAAGTGAAATGGGACATTTTGCTCTTGGGTGAGATTTCAAGATGTAACTCAGAGCTTCAAAGAATATCAGTTAAAAAAAGAGAACCATCTTCAAGTAATGTGGCTTCTGATTCTGTAATGTTGTTAGAGATCTGTTTGTCCATTTATACACTACCTACAACTGACAGAATTGTTCACTTTATGATCAAAACAGTATTTAAACCCTCTGCTTAACTGTATCAAGGGCAGATGTATACAACTCAGTGGTAAGGCACTGCAGACTCTCTTTCATCTTTTCATCTAAAACATCTTTTAGGCCTTTAACCCTTTGATAAATTGACTGGTAAATTCTTTTGATGAAGTGAACTCTTTTAACAACAGATAATAACATTATTTTAAACAGAACCTGCCCATACAATGTATTTCTTCTTGTTTCAAAGTTGAAAATATTGTTTTGGTGTTTAGCTGTAAGTCTGACTGGGAAAAGACGTATGTCCTGCTCTGATCCATTCAATAGTGTGCAAAGCTCTTTGTTTCCTGCTTCCTCCCCAGAGTTTCTGTAGCATGGGTTTTTTGTTTATTAAAGCCTAGGAGGGCAATGAAATAATATACACAACAATTGAATAGTGTCTATTTTTCATGTAAGAGGTTTCAATCAAAACTTAATTTTAAATGTTAAATTTGGCAATGCATCCCACTGAGCAATGTTTGGAATGTATGCTACAGCAGCACAGAGTAAACAGTATCATCCATACTCTCATGCAACACAAAATTCCTGCTGGGTAGCTCCTTGGCATGGTAACTGGTGTCTGGAGCACAACACATTACTACTTTTCTTCTTGGGGTAAGCCCAACAACTCCAAATGGCGAGAAGGAATAAAGCCATTTACTAATTACTGATCTGCTTAATAAAGAAACAGCAAGCAAACAATTTATTGGGCCCTGCATTTGAAAGTTCAGTGGCAGACTAAAGTTCTGACAGCCTCATGGCGGGGAAAACGTCAACTATAATCCAGTCCCTGGCCACAAGTCAGTCTTCCTCTTTTCTATTTAATGCAACTTTAGTGTAGGACAAGTGAATAATCTGAGATCAATACAAGCACTGAGGAGGCTGAGTCCATATCCTACTATCTTTATGTTTACATAAAGTTTTGTATGCAAGGTGCATTGATTTCTTTCTTCTTTATTCCTGTGTTTGAGCAACATCCAGTAACTTTTGGGTCTGAGACAACCTGCAGACTCTTAACAAGTTTTTTATTTCAACAGAAAGAAAAAACCAACACGTTTCTCAGAGTCTGAAGTCTACATGTTTGCCTTTGTTAAGAAAGTTTGATGTAGCTCTTGCTTTCTGTGGCTCTTTTCCAACAGAGCAAAAATATTTCAACATCAGTATTAAAATTAAAAACTAAATATATACTAAGCATAGTTAAACTTGATCTTATAATATGTAAGATTTGGTGATTTCAACCCGTCTCATATCCAGTTAGTGCTTCAACTGTACACCATGGCTCAGTACTGTGGTTAGGCACACTCAGAGCTTATCTGCTGAAATAACCCCTGGTACTTAAGGATCTTGACTTACTAGTTTGAACTAGGGATCAAGGCAAACTATTTGATAGTACCATTTCACAGGCAACTTACAGACACCCTTGTGCAAGTAGTTGAAGTTTAGATTTCAGAATTAGGCAGTAGCTGAGCTGTGCTTTTGGAAAGTGGTGTCAGTGATAAAGCTGGGTTCCTTGCCTCATTAAGCACTTCAGTGTCTTCTGGGGACATGTTCTGTCTCACAGAGTGATCACGTTTTATGACAGCATTTACTCCATTACTGCATGGTACATTTCATCACTGTGCAACAGCAGACATGTCCTTCATTATTCAAATACTTGACACAAAACTTGTTGATTGCTCTGAAATATTTTTTCTTGCCCTTCAGGCTTGTCTTATTTTTCTGTTCAAGACTCTGGTACTACAGGCCCGTTTTCTACAAATACATGGGAAGCTGCTAATGGTGTCAGCAGCTTGGCTTTCTGGAATTCTCAGCCTCAGCTGCTGTGATGTTAAACTAAGTGTAATCCAGCTGGCCAGCCATCTTGCCGAGCTCCTGCAGTCTGTCTGCAAACTGAACTGCAACCTCAACCTTTTACTGGCTGGGTTAACACAACATTGCAGGGGAGATGGACTATAATGCAATTATCTTACAAGAAAAACCAAAGACCTAAAGATGTCTGCCTCTGTAGCGCAGTGAAATGGAAAATAAAGTGTCAGATGTATTCCATCATGATTATACTTTAAATTGCTGTTGTCAGCAAAATAGTGATTCCAGCCAGATACTCATTGCCATTAGAACACTACCGGAATTCTAAATAGAAAGTATCCTCACATATAGTGAAATGGCTTCCCTCTCTTTTATTGTAAGCTTGTACCAGTTAATTTACTGGAAATTTCTTGATGCTGAACAGTGTGATATGCCCAGAAAACATGCCTTCAAAAAGCCTCATGGAATAAATCAGTTAACTTCTGCTGTGGGTGTTCTGGATAGCATAAACTAAAACTATGATACCTCAGATGTAAGTATAAAAACTTCCATGAGACAGTATCAATTAAAAATGACCATGTGCATTTAAATACTGGTTAAACTCCATACTTCTTTTCTACGCTGCAAGCAAATCAATGTGCAAGTTTTATTTCTTAGCTTAAAGTCTCCTTATTTGTTTCTGCAGTGATGAAAACCCTGGCTCCCTTTCACTGGTGTGTGAATTTATGTCCATGAATATTTATGAGCTAATGAAAGGTATGTAGCATATACTTAGGAAACATAAACTCTCCTTGTGTAGATCAAAAGTGGAATTAGTTATTTTTCACTTGGTTTTTCACTGTTACAGATTATAAAACTCACAGGGAATTTTGTGCTGTACTGCTTTACCCTTTAATTCTTGCCAGTGGAATATACCCAATTGTTTAAGGCAAGGGTATATGCAGGTTTCCCATGAGTCAAGTCTATAGCCATCTGTTCTACAGTCAAACAACCTTGACTGCAAAACACAAAATAACTGCTTTATGTAACAAAAAATAAAACTTAAACAAATTCTTTGTTAGGTCAGGGCTACAGTGAGGTAGTAAGAAAATTATTCCCATTTGTTTCAAAACTATGGAATCAATGAATAAGGATTTTCAGTTTTTATGCCTTGGAAAAAAGCCTTTTACTAAGTTTTCTTTATAAAATAACATTGTTCCCTCGTACCTCCTATATTTAAAAATTCTGGAGCTGTTTGATTAAGCAGACTATAAAGCTTAAGGAAGAGTTCCTACAAAAAAATTTGGAACACAAGCTGATTTAAAACCAGTTCCTGTATAAACAGTAAAGGAATTGGATACAGCAAATGAAGGGGCTTAAAATTCATAAGTAAAAGAGGATTCTTAACAGTTGGGAGTTTAAATTAAATAATTGAACATGCAACTGTCATTCAGTGTAATACAATAAAGACTTGCTCCTGAACATAACATTGGTGACACTGACTATTCAGAACTCTAATAAAAAGAGTAACTCTGTTTCTGACCTAGATAAGAATGTGAGATTAAAACTGAGTTATTTTCTGATTGCTGAAGTAGACATTAGTGTGTACTAGTTTTAATAAGATATTTTGTGTTTGCTATATTTAGCATGGTATTCAGATGGAAATGAGAATCATAATTCCAGCATGTTCTGATTTTTTTTATTATTTAAGAATACAAGTTCTTTCAAAGTTTTCCAGAAGATGATTGTTTTCACACCACTTAGTTGTAGTAACCTCCTTTTCTATGGCATGATGAATCAGTTCAAAACGAAATTTGTGTTCAATAGTAATCTGAAATGCTGCAGTTAGGGATTATCTGAACATTAATCTGGGTTTACCTGAACTTCTATAAATTGCTGATTCTTCTTTATAGTCTGAATTCTGAGTCTGAACTTTGTTTACCGTGATACAGTGCCTTATTTTTAATGTTGTGTAAGGTGGAGTGGAGCTTGTCAAATCATAGAATATAATAGAAAAGTGAACTGAAGTGGACTGAAAATGAATTTTTGACAAGGAGTATGGAGATTCTTTTGTACTTCGGAGGACAGTTCACTGTAATGCTACTAACGTGGAAAGCTGATACTTTTGTTTTTTTCTCTAAAAAAACAAGAGATCCATGTTACTTCAGTCAAGCCTATTTGTCTTTACACAAAGTCATAATTGTCTTGCTGTTAATTTAGAGTGGAAGCATTTAATAACTGAGAAACACTCTTGCCCTTTGCTTAATCAACAGCAGTTTGGTCATTTAAAGCAATGAAAAAAGTGGCTGAGAGAGAGGTGTGGAGGATCTCTTAAGAGAAATTATAGAAGCCTCAAGTTCCACTGCCTTAGGATTCACTGCACCATTACTGCCAAATAAGGTTTTCTCCAGTGATAAATCTGGAAGTAGAGGAGCATCTGCTCCCGATTTTTCTAGTGACATGTAACGAAAAAGCAATTGAGCATGATTTCTTTTTATGAAGGCCCCATTCCTTAATAATAATAATAATAATAATAATAATAATAATAATAATAATAATAATAATAATAATAATAATAATAATAATCTAAATTGATTTGAATAGCTGCATTTTATAGTATCTTTTCCACTATAAATGACAAAAGTCCTAATGTTGAAAGCACCATTTATCTCTATGGGGGCACTACTACTACAATTCCCGATGTAAATGGTACTCTGTTCCAAGTGCTTTGTGATCTAATCCTGCTCGGTGGATTATGTGGCTGCCTGGAGGAGCACTGTAATCAGTTGGGAACACAAGTCCCGCTGGCTGCTGGGGCTCTGGCCTCAATGAGTTACTGTCCTGATAATCTCCCTCCTCCTCCCCAGCCAATTACTCATACTACTGTCATCACGCAGATCAGTACCTGCTTTGTTTTTCAAAAATGTGATCATTTCTGCCTCCGTTGATGGCATTGCAGCGTTACATAAAGGCATTACAGCAAGATTAAAAGGCCTTTGGAGCCTATAAAAGAAAAAAGCCGAGCAGTTACTGAATGGCTCTGAAAAATAGATAAATTTTATAACTGTAGTTATTGCCTAACAGCAACAGCAAGCTAAACTACATAGGTTAGCCTTTAATTTGCAATTCAGATGTGAATCAAAGTCCTTTAACCATAGCAGTAACTTGAGGTGATTGATACAAGTCTTCAACCTGAAGGACAATTACTTCGAGTAGAGAGGAAATGAGATATTTAGAAGTAAAATACTGCAGTTCTGCTAGGACTTGGGGAAATAGAAACTGCAAGTAATACATGCAGTAAAAACTAAGGCATCTTACAGAGTATCGAATTGACAATTGTTAGCTGAGCTATTCTGGGGCATACTGAAATACAAATAATGTCAGAAGTTGAGTGGATAACGAATTACCAAGCTAGCTATAAATAACAGAAGTAGTATAATTGAAATAGGTGGTATCAATGCACTTCTGGAAGCTGAAGCCTATGGTATTTGAATTATATTTGTTCTTTACTTAAAAGAACACAACTTGAAATTTTATTCTAGGAAGGAGAAAGTCATTGCCTGGGAAAAAAAATCGAGAACAACATGTACCAGGTATGCAAATCTCTAGATTGAGTACATAGGTAAAAGACCTGGTTCAGCACCAGCTTTACAGCAAATGTAGCACACACTTATTTCAGGGTCTTCTCTAGGGAGAAACAGAATTGTCTGGGGCAGCAGCTGGCTGCTGCATGGACAGAAAAGGCCCTGGCCCAGACACATCTTTGCCTGCAGCAGAGCCCTGGGAGGCAGCAAGCAGCCAGAGCTGCTGCCAGCACCCCAAAGGAGCTCTAGTGCCTGCTGCAGGAAACCCTCCTGGGAGGAGATGGCCCTTGCAATCCTCTGGTAGCCCTGGTGAGAGCAGAAGCAGAAAGCCTGGCTCTCCTTCCTGGACTTTCCCATTCCCCATTTCCATATCTGTAGCTGTTGTCTCACCATGATGACAAAATTTAATTTTTACTAATCTGTTGATAAGTTTGAAAAAAGTGCTGGTTTCTTTAAGTATTTTTTTTTTTTTTTTACAAATAACTGGAAGCACTGATAATGTTTATCTTTTTACTGAATCCTTCTCTCTTCTGTGTTTGTATTAGTACAGAAATGGAATATTTCAGAGGGATGGGCAACAAGAAAACATAATAATAAAGCTAATTAATTTTATGTGAGGATATTTAACTGAAAGTGAAGTATGTAAGTATTTTTCTCTTTACCCTGAGAAGGTAATGTTTATTAATAAATAAAAGTACAGTTTTTTTAAGAAATATATCGACAGTTACTATATTTCTGATCTAGGGGAAGGAACAAACAATTTTGTTAGTGGCTAAAACCTGAAATGGCTGACATGCATTACACCCTGCATGTGTTCCCCCCAACCTAAAAACCTGTTCTTTATCCTCTATTAATACATATTTTTGTTTCTGTGTTAATCTAGACACAGGAAATAGGGTTCAGTTTTGCACCTCTTTCTTTCTACATTCAATTCCTACATTTAGTGGAAGTTACATAAACAAAAGAGAGCAGAAGATAGTGGCTTTCAGAAGATTTAATTGTAACCATCTCTCCTGACAGTTTCTGAAAGTTATTTTGCTAATGTTTGAAAAGCAAGGATTTTTAAATTCAGTTTATGAAATTTTATTTTCTGAAAGTAAATTTTTCTTTTGAGTCATAGAAGTGTACAGGAGGAGCCAAAGCCACCTATTATAGTACTGCTGAACAGAAAAACTAATAATTTAATCTAGATGTCCTATTTAGCAGCCTTTCCTTCTGTGATAGTCCCTATGCTCTTAGACCTTTCTTTTCATGATGTACAGAACAGTGTTTGCATTACATACTATGCACAGAGATATCTTCATGCCTGGAGTTACTTACTATTTCAATGCTGCTTTACTGCATTAAAATGACTACTACCCCTGGATTTTGGAAAGTTTCTTCTTAAAGTAATCTGTGAATTCTTTTAAAATGACGATTTTACAGTCATCGCTTTTATATATTACTGTTTGTAATATGTGGAAATGCTTTATTTATTTTTGCAGCAGAACACCCTAAAGTTAAGAGACTTTAGATCTTGTAGGAGTATCTATTCTTAGCAGGCAGACAGTACCTCCCCACGCTGGTACTGAGCACCTGAATGTTTGCTTACAAATGGGCTCTATAGTTACAAAATTGGCATGTGGAGTCCTGGCTGTGTTTTCTATGAAATCACAAGGTACTGTGTTCAGTGGAGGGTTTTGCTTATCATTAATCAAGATAATCAAAGGTAAATAACTCAAATTAGGAGCATGTGGTTTGGGTAATGTGATCTTCGTTTCCATGGATTTGTAGAAGCTTCTGTGCTTAGTCTGCAGGGTTCATGAGCAGTAATCCATGATGAGCAGTGTCTGGTCTGGCACTCTTCACCCTGTGGCAGGTTAGTAATAAAGCAGTTCAAGAGAACACAGTACAAAGAAACTTTTTTGAACTTTTTCTCCCCCCAATGGCTTCATATTTAGTAAAAATGTATTTTCTCTGCTTTATCTCTGTGTAGAGTATGGATCATTTCCTCTCATGAGCATCACAAATTATCCTCAGTCTTGTTAGTGCACTTAATGGCAAAATGTTTCCCACTTTTTTGGCCTTAGTAATACCTTCTGCAAAACCACAAGAGGTTGGAGAATACAATCCCTCTGATTTACAACTTTGATTTATAGTATGCTGTGTCTAAGACCCCTGTGCTCTTAAGATCTTGTGTGCTGGTATATTTTGAAATCAGGTTCTGATGAAGGAAGAGTTCAGGAAAACACGAATGTAAGTCTTTTAAGATTTTTGGTAATCATGAATCTGTAACTCAAAAAATTTCTTACTGGTCTTCAAGAAAAAAGGAAAAATACCTACCATGAGCATTTCTCCAATATCTTTGTGCCCTAGCAACAGCAGCAGTTCTTTATTCTCCTCCCACACTGCTCTCTCTGATATGCAACCAGGACTGATAACATTTGCTTTGCTTCTTTCCTCCTCCACATGGCAAGTGCAGCTGCTGCCATCACCATCACATTAAATGACAACCATTATGCTTTGCCTGCTAACTTGTAGAAACATTTCTGCTTCTCCAGCCAGAAAACTGTTAAAAGAAAAATCCCAAATGTGGCAGTACTCTTGCAAAGTAAATTGTGACCAAAAGCTTTAAGAATGCCTGGGCTTTGTAGCTTTGTAAGAAAATTACATGCTAAAAAGTTAAGTTTTCTTAGGGAAAAAACTCAATCCTTAAAGATAATTTCCTTGTAGTTTCAGCTTAATGTAAAAAATTTCACTCTTTACAACCATTGAACGTTTTCAGAGACCTTATAGGTGTGTTCAGAGAGAAAGGAAGGATGTTTCTTGGAAATTGAATTGAATTGAAAATGAATTGAAAGAGATACAGCCTTGCCAAACTAAAGGCAATTATTGACAGGTTTGTTTCTTTTTCAGTGCTTTCTGCAGTTGTTGCTGTTGAATGGTTCCATAAGCCTTTATGCTTTACAGCACATTGTATAAGAAATTTTAGTCCTTTATTCAGCCATGCTGATCTTTCTAATCTTGTTTTCTTTTCTGTTCCCTGTAAATCATGATTCCTGGATTGCATTTTTCACTGGCTTGCACAGTTGTTCTTGACTTTGTTACAGTTTTACATTCAACTACAGCACATTTTTTAGTTGACACAGAAGCCAGTCCCAGCTGCATGTCTTGATGCAGCTGTACAATGTGAATCAGATCTTTTCTCTCCTTCCTCTACTCTAGGCTTTATGAAGACACTCAGAGCAGTGTGCAGCCAGCTGTTTGATTGAATTTGCAAACAGTTAAAAATAAGTTTCTCATGTCTACAAAGGGGCTGAATGTTCTGCTTTCAAGAGTCATGTGGTGCTACTGAAGTGTTCCTTAAATTACAAGCCCAAGGAAAAAAGCAACAAGTGCAGGAAATAAATGTTAGTGGACCTGACTAAAGTCAGATTGCTCTAATATGATAACAGTGTTTTCAAGGACTCTGTGCAAGTTTTATATTAACTGAGAATCAAGCTCAGGAATGCAGTTCAAATTATCATCTTTCCAGTACTGCTGCTTGCAAAGAACCTGTGTTAGGAATGGAGTGTTATAAATACATTTCTATGTGTATACACAGCAAGATGAACTGCTTGATTCTGCTGTCTTAAAATGAGGAGAACACATTGTCTTCTAGGATCTACCACTTTACTAGAAGCAAACACAATCCCAGATCCATTGCCCTTCACCACAAGGGCAATGGATCTCTCTACATATTTTGCCCCAAACCAGGAGAGGGCAGCTACAGATTTCCATTTATTAACCCAAGCTACTCCTTCAATCCAAAAGCAGTGTCTCCTATCCCTACCCAGAAACAGTCACCCATTCATGAACTTTACAGGCAGAGCAGAGGAAATCTGAGCCTATCTTGATCTTATTTGGCCTTTTATTTCCATAGTATCTTTGAGGCCAGTGACGTAAGTTTTTAGGAAAGAAAAGGGGTTTTTTTCAAGTAATACTTACTTTTTCCTAATAAATGATTGCCTAAACCAGGTGAATTCTTTCTTTTCAGTAAATTGCAATCCTCTCTGAATATGCATGGTTAAATGTTTTTCTTAGCTTGATTAACACAGAATTTTGAGTTTTGAATCCTCCCTTTAAAGAAAGGAAAAAAATTTTGTGCACAAATTGCCTTTCAAAGATTTCTATTTCCTGTGTGCAGTGATAAAATATGACTCCAATGAGAGAACTGCTACCCATCAAACCGTACAGCACCCTTATTTTCAAGAACTCTAGCAAATGAATTCAAATCACTTCAATTTTGAAGACTAAAGTCAAAAGGTAAGGGAAGTGTTGTGTCCATGTTTCAAGTGGTAAGAAATTAAATTTGTTTCCAGTGCTAGTCCTTGTCATGTCAACCATGAACATAATTCAGTCAACGTAGTGCTTTGCATTGAGTCCAAACCTTACCTAAAACACGACTGATGCTTGTCTCTATTCTTCTTTTTGTCCCAGCCTTTTTAAGACAGCCAACACACGAGCTTTAACTGTGCACAAAAAATTAAGACTAGTAGAAAATATGTCAGGGCAAGTACTTCAGTATTTGTGGCAAATTTCAAAGGCAAGTCCAAGACAGATAGTATTTAAGTGGAAGAATTGTCATCCCATTGAGAGAAAGTAATTTGTAGCACTGAGCTTGTTAGTTAGAAACAAATGTTTTACTTAAGCTGATTACTTGGGTTTATTCTGTCTGCCTAAACACAGATCTTTATTTGGTCTGATGCAGTTCCCCTCCCCCCAAATCCCTGACATACACAGTTAGAATTTAGAAGCTCTGATATCTCATAATCCCTTCTGTACACTCTTGTTAGAATTGCTGTTACTTAAAGGGTCAGCTCCACCTTTATTTTTAAATATAATCACCTGTTTTTGATGTCTGCCTTGAGTTAAAAAGTTTTCCAGATGAAGTGTGGCAGAGACAGGAATTATGCTTTTGCCTCTTCAGGGCTTCAGTTTACATTTTGTGCAAATAAAAGTATTTTTTTTAAAAAACGTAATTATCCTGTATATAGATGATATTGGGGAAAATTCCAAATGAGTATTTGACATGAAATAAAAAATAAATCTGATTAAAAATTCGGGCAAACGAAAACTGTTTATGTATCAGCTATGTGAAAAATATCTATTCACTTGCTGTATCAACAAGGTGAGGTGGAAGTTAGTATCACATGGAAAACTTTCAAATACAGGTTTTTCTCAAACAAGCCCTCAGAAACCTCCACAAACTAGCAAAGAACATTCAGCTTTGGATGCATGAACTCTCCTTCTAGAGGAGAAGCCAGTTTTTCCACTGAATTCTCCTTCTAGATGAGAAGCCAGTTTTTCCACTAATTTAGTTCTTGGGTTCATCAGCGTAGGTTTTCTAAGAAGTTCCTTTAGGCAAGATTTCAAGTAAGGCAAGCAATTTTTAAAAAGGAATGAGGTGAAGTTGTAATTGGCTGAGCGTTTTTTAAGTTCTGATTATTTGGGTTTTCTCTTCTAATTTTGTTTGTTAAGGTGTTTTCAGAAAGAAATTGAATGTTTATTTATTTTAAAAGCATTCTCTTAGGAAAGTCCAGGAAAGAAAACAAATCAACATGAGCATCTTCTGGGAGAATTACCAAAATTAAATTTTTTCTGGAGTAGCCAAATTGATTTCCTGTCCTACTTGTACATTGCATTCCATTTTCTAGGGACCTAAGGAAGGTGGTGGAACCCTTGTTTTCCAGTCTGTCAGATTTACTGGATCATATATTGAGGTGTAGACTCTCACTTGCCCACTGAAGCACATTTGAAACTTCTGTTGTTTCTTCAACAGTCTGAGAAACAGAAGGCACTTCAGTCTTCCCTGAAACGTTTCCATTTGCCTGCTATAGAAGGAACAGAAGTGAGGAAAAGCCTGGCTATGCAGTGAGAGACCCAGGCATACTTCTGTTGTTAGAGATCTAACAAGAACAGCAGTGCCTGATTTTGCCTTGCTTTGACAATTTGTAGGAAAACCCCACAAGGTTTGAGGGCTGCTTTCCTACCATTTTGATATTCTTTTCCTGAAAGGGGTCAATATTTAATTAAAGCATTGTTCTGGCAGAGCACAGAGAGTGTTCTGCATTGAACTTCCTAAGTTTTGACTTATTCCTTTTAGAACCTGGTGGAGGAGGAGGTTGGTTAAAAATAGCATGAAAGGATTCTTAGAGCTCAAGTATTAGGAATGGAATGTTATCTACAGAATTTAAGTTTTCAAATTGTATTACAAATGACAGTCAATTGCTGTATTTTTTTTTTTATATTTAAGGGTTTCGGTTTTTGCGTTTTTTTTCGGTTTGCTCTGGAAATTATTTCCCTCCTGTATTCAGTAACTTCTGCCTCAGGTTTTACTGAGAATGTTTAAATTGTGCAATCATATGAGATACTTGATTTTTGATGCAGTTTCTCTAACTGCAGAATATTTTTATGTAACTATAATCTAACTCAAAGATAAATCAACTTTTTAGCTGATTCAAAAGCAAGTAAAACTTAGTCATAGTTTGCTTCAGGCAATTGATCTTAACATTAATCTAAAGTCATAACAGGGACGGATATTGCAGCCATTTCCTTAAAAGAGCAGTAAAAGCATGTAGCTGATCATGCTTCAGAAATCTGGCACACAGATCACCAGAAACAATTTAACAGAGTATTTCCTACTGCTAAATAAAGTAAAAGGGAACATCCTTATCTTACTAGGAAAGAATTTTTATTCCAAACTGATACCATTGATTTTAAAATTCCTGAGATCCAAAAATTTGCATTAATTAATTTGCAATACTTAAGTTTGGTGATGTGTTATAGAACAGTTTTGTTATTTAGAAAACAAAAGTTTGTGCAAGTCATACTTCGCTGAGGGTTAAAAATATGTTGCCTACCAAGTGTGCATGCAAGACAGGTTTGGCAAATAACTTTTTTGGAGGTTTTAATAGTTACAAAAGTTACTCTGCTCGTAATTAGGAAGTGATCATCATTTTTTTCATAACCAAACACTAGGCTCTGGTGCTGCTGTTCAAAAATCCAGCCATGAGCAGGAGGCAAAGGGCATTTTGTGTGAGAGGTACTGCTGTGGGGAGGCACCATGGAAAATGGGGCACTGGGGAGGAGTACGTCACATCCGAGTCACTTAGCCAACCCTTAAGCATCAATTTGAGATTTTTGCTCTAGATCCAGACTTAACTTTATTCTAAAAAATTAATATACACAGTGCAGTAAAGCACAGGTTAACATAAAGATCCTATATGAGTAAAAATTATGCCTGTTATGTTCTCAGCTCTTCTTCTGAGATTCCACAGGGCTATGCATTTGTGAAAATAATTGCTCTTCTCACTCACTCTGAGGTGTTCCAGTAAGCGGGCTTTTTGCTGTGATTTGTTGATTGGTTGATTGTTTTTGTAAGAAGAGGCATCTCAACACTTGCAGGATTCTGTTGTAACTAGATTAGATACTAATCCTTATTCAGGTCAACTTTGGACATTTTGGACAACTTTGAGCATGCCCCAATTCCACATTGTAGCTTTTCCATGTGGAGAACTCATGAGACTGAAGTTCTTTATGAATCCTTTTGACATCTACTGCTTAAAAGTACTTGTCTAACTTATGTTTGTCTTCATTTTTAGAAGATGGTATTACTATCACATACTGTACTGAGGATCAACGTGACATTTGTAAGGAGATTGTTGAAAATGTGAAAATATTCACAGGGTAAATGTGGTGCAGACTGTGGGAGTATTTGATATTGATTCAAATTTGACTATCCAAGTTAAATATCGTCCACCTCATCATGTACCATTGCTCAATTTATGTCATTTCTTCATAGCAAATTTTCAGAATCTCAATAACAAGAATGGAAAAACATCCCAGCTCTGGAAAGAATTTTTATAGAATAAGACTAAAGCATTTGAACAAGGCTCTGCAGGGAAACCTCTACTGCTGCTACTTGCACTAGATGTGCCAAAGGAAGGGCAGATTTCTCATACTAAGACTGAACAAATACATGAACCAAGTTTTAGTGGAAGTGCTTTACACAGTAGAGTGAGAACACTGTAACAAAGGGAAACAGCAGAATACAATGGTACAGCTAACTGCTCCTTGTCATTTTACTTGAAACTCCTACTGCATGGATGCTGCTTTTTCTAGTTCCAAGCAAAAACTGTTCTGAACACAGTATCTCAGAGTGCACTGAAGGTATGTAAAACCAGTGACTGGCTAAGTTTTCCTGTTCTATTACATTTCACTGAATCATCTCCCCATGTCTGTATGCTTTCATGTTAGCAGCTTATACTGATAGAACAAAGAACTTCAGCAATAAGGCAATACAGTATTTGTCTGAATACCTACCATAGGGGTTTTTTATAGACAGATAGATGGATATGTGAAAGGTACGATGCCACGCTTAGAAAATGAAATTAAGGACGGCAGGTGTATAGGCAGGCAACACAGTGCAACAGTAACCTCCAAGTTCTTACCTTTGGAACACTGAGCAAAAGGTGCAATGAGCTTATCCAGTGCTTTTTCCAGAGGAAGACGATGAGTTGCTTAGTGCCGATGTATTTGGAGTTGAGCATAATGAGTAGCATTAAAATTGATGGTCTAAAAATAGGTAACTAACTGGATCCAAAGGAGCTTACTATCCACTGTTGTTAATATTTTACCAAAAAAGAGGACAAATCCTACTACCCACATTTGATGGATTGTTCTGACTCAGATCTCTCTTACCTAGCACTATACAGGAGGTGAAAGCTCAGATTATCAAAACTATATTCCTGATGGAGATATAGTAATTGTATTGGTTGCTTCCCATAATCTGTTTCTGTAAGCCTCAAACAACAGATGCTGAAGTTTAAGTATTTTGACTAAATAAAAAAGTCCATCAAACTGTTGGCACAAGATACCTTTCTGATTTTAAAAGTGTTACTGCCACTGTTTGCTTCCCTAATTAATATATCAGGTAAGTGATAATTCATACACCAGGAAAAAGACGAAGTCAGAATTTTCATAAGTTTTAACCTGCAGAGAAAAGGCTACCAGAATAACATTTTGTGTATTATCACATTCTCTGTATCTGGGACTATAAGACTGTTATAATGGGAATGGCAATTTCATGTTCAACAGATCATTTTTGCTATAAAATTGCAAATCTGAAGTGAAGACTCACATTGGAATTTTTTTTTTTTTTTTTTTTTTTTTACGCTTTCAGGTGGAACTTACTCAGTTTGGCAAATACAGTCCTTCAAGGATATTTATTTCCTAAACAAGTTCTTTGCTGTTAAACTTCTGGAGACAACTTACACTTCTCTGGCTGTTGGATGAATAGGCAAACTTGAGTTTTCCCCACCTGCTTTATAGTTAAAATACACCCAGCTTTAAACTATGAACTGGCAAGTATGATTCCTAACCTCATTCTTCCAGCTAAATTTCCATGTTGAGATTATCTGTGTTCCACTCACTTTTAATTATTTTTTTAATGTAGTAGGGAAAGTATTTTTATTAAAAGCTGTTATCTACAGTAGAGGTCTTAAGCTCCTTACAGGTAAGTTATTAGCATCCAGTTTCTTACTAAAATAATTTTTTTCCATATGGAATAGAGTGTGGTATGGGGAGTTCAAGCTTCTAGATGATTGCCCTAATAGTAAAGAAGAGTCTAAAAAAAGAAAAATCACACACATTTCCTGTGTGCTGCTGGACTGCGATTTGTGGCAGGGACATACCCTGCCAACACAGATGTGAATAGCTGCTCTTGTTCCCCTGATGTTGGATATTGCAATTCTTTCCCTACTGGTTTTGTATTTTTCCAGCTGAAGGAAAAAAGTCTTTTAAAGTTATTGCTTCTTTTTTCAACTGTTTCATTTTGACTCAGACCATATGAAGCACTTATATAGAAGAAGTCTATGGGGAGATAACTACACTAGTTTTGAGTGATAAGGTTTATCTGTATTTTAACAGTTAAACCCACTATGTTAATAAAACAAAACTTCTGAAAAATAATCCTGCTCAGTTTCAGTATTTTCCCCATTCCTCATATTTTAGAAGAAGACAGATAAGAATTGTAAAGCACAGCTTCATCTTGAATAAAGTAGGGAACTAATTCCCTGCTTATAAACGGATCTGGCAGTTCTCTACATGCTGGCTGCACTGCAAGGATAAGACTTAGTTACAAGCTACTGCAGTTGCTTCTCCCCAAATGTTCATTCATTTCCTGAAAACAAATCACTTCTCATGCCAGAAAATGTATTAAGTTTACTTGTAATCTAAAAAATTCTACCCAGCTTTATTGTTGGCGAGCAGGAAGGGCATTAACATGTGCCCATGGATACAGGATGTGCACCTGCGGGCAGGTTCATGGTCCTGGGCAAGCAGCCTCTGTTCTACTCTGCCTGCAGGATTCTGCAAATCCCAGCTGTGAACATTGCTACATAAGGAAGCATATGATGGATACTTCTTTTTTCTGTCATTCCGGGGCGGGTTAATCTTTGCAGGAAGTACTGAAAACAAGTTAAGTGGTGTGTTGACTGATTAAAAATGACAAGCAGCATTAACCTCTGCAAATCCATGGATATGTCTATCCCCATCACACTTATCAGTTTAAGACCATTGAATTATAAATGAGATGCCTGATGTAAGACAAATGAGTCTCAGAAATGCTACTCCAATATGTTAACCCAGTTTCTGACTGGTAAGTCAGAAAGTACAGCTACTGCTGTGGGATCTTCCACTTCCCAGCTCCAAATGCACAGGACTACATGGTGACAAAATCCTTACCCCATGAAGTTGCCTGTCTGTGAGATTGCTGCTGTATGATGTATTTAAACTGCAGAATGTGTTTGGAGATAAGCCATAAAGAACAAGAACAGAACAATTGTATTTCACTTTCCTAATTGAAATTCAATTCTATTAAATATGAATTCTATTAAATATGTTCTAGGTGAGATATTTTGAAAGGAATTTGTTCTACAAAGTTTAGATAGTATTTCTGTACCAAACATTTAATTCAACAAAGAATTGGTTACATCAAAAGTGATTTGATTTGAACAGAAAGTAAACAAAAATGCATATTCAAGATAGTTTAATATGTATTTTCTGAATTAGAAATATCACTTTCTTAAATGAATGAGAATTTCTAGTGTAATGATCCATTACTCCCCTCCCCCATCACTGAATTACATTATTTATACATATAATACAGAGCCGATTGCAGTTGGAAACAACAATATTAAAATAAATGTTTAATAGATACAAAGGATCTTTTCTCCACAACATAGTTTTTCTGGTGTCTGGACACCAATTTTAAAGTAATTCTCTATAAGCATTAAACTATTTAAGTGCAAAACAATTTTGTTTTAAAAAAATCTATGATTGCAGCATCCATCTTCCTGAAAAACATTTTGAAGCCAGAAAGTAATAACTTTCATTTTCCATGAGTGCATTCCAGGCTGTCTTCTAGCCACCTCTGGTTAAAAAAATCAGTGCAAAATAAACAATGGTGAAGTACTAGTTTAACCATTGAACTTACTTGAATTTAAGAAACATATCTTATTTTACACTATATATATATATATATATATATATATATCCTTTATTTATATATTTATAGAGAGATTAAATTACACTGGACTTGAAAAGTATAAAGAAAACAAAAATGTTACTACTTTTTTCCTGCAGCACTAAAGGAAGCTTTTTGCTTTTTCTCCAATGCAAACTCTTCCTTGGGTGAGCAGCCTAGCAGGATCAGCTGTAGTGAGACTCCTTACATTTGTCCTTTGCAAGTCACTATGTGATTCACATAATTCCATGTTTACACTCTGCCACATTATAATTTGTGATGCTCTTGGCCTGAAGAACAGCTCCTGGTTCCACTGTCATTACTTCTTGTCCTGTGTTCAGAGATTTGCTAGCAGTAGTGTGATGGCTATACTACAGTTCCACTTGGAGAATTGGCCTGGTTTTGGGATGACAATAAACCCTGCAAACAAAGCAGTTTACATTAATCCAGCAAGAGAACCTGACATGAATTTTATAAAGTTCTTAACCTGAACCTATAATGAGTACAGTTGATTTTTACCAACACTTGCTTACTTCAGACATCAGCACCTCTCCTACAAAGGCTCTAATCCACCACGGTCTCAGCCAAGCAGCACACAAAGAGCTCTCAGACGTGTGCGTTTATAACACGGAATGGATCTGATCCCAGCATTTGGTTTAATCTACCTTGCACTTGGAGTCATAGTGAACTTTAAAAATCATACAACAAAAAAATTCATCAGCATTTTACTGGGGTGGTGTCAAACAAACCGATTCCAGTATCAGTATGTTTGACAACTGACCTGATACAGGGAAACACTCCATCTCTTATATGTGATTGAGTATTACAGGCTTTGAATAGAAAAATAGATTGTCTAACTAAATATTTGTTTTGGTAATTTTAAAACAGAATGAAACGCTGACAAGAGGTCAGTAGAGATTTCCTATTACAATTTAAGTTCACACTCAGGAAAACTTGGTGCCAGCTCTTTTAACTACTCTGCCATTCAAATTGAGACTGATTTCCCACACAGCCCCAGGACTGTACAGTGCCCCTCACTACACAGAGGCTGCCGCTCTGAATTAAGGCAACTACACCTTACAGATTAAACCTATGGGTACCAATGGACAGACTATATTTCAGATTTATACAGTATTTATACAGTAGCCCCTTTTTAATAATTCACATAAAAGTAACTTTGTCAGGCTTATTTAGGAAAAGCTTACTGACAAAATACAATTTAGCCTTCTTATAAGGTCATTAGTTAGTTCTACCGTGTTCCAGCAGGCCAAGGAGCATGCTGGCAGCTGGAAGCACACCAGCAAGTATCCCCATGCAACTCCTCACCTCGTAGGGTGTGATAAATGCACTTTCAGCAACTCCTCTAAGCAGCTCCCAGCTTATGTTCTTACCTCAAAATTAAGATCCTGGGACTCAGATCCATCAAACTAGACAAGATCAGGCAGCAATTAGCATACAGACAGAAGACAGAATTATGTGACTTCTTCAGAATCTACAGGAGCTCTTTCACACTTGGATCCAAGAACTGAGAGGTCACGATGATGGAAGTAAACCCTGACCTCAGAAGAGGTGGAAAGAGGGAAAAGAGGGCTGGACTGACTGGATAGAAGTCATCCAATTTCTGTTAAAACCAAAGCCCTTCTCTTTAAGGAAGCATCTGATCATTTCAGATATGTCGTGAACCTGGATAGTTTGCAGACTTGTGTGTGCATTTGCAAATGGTGCATATGACATTTATAGATAACAAAGCATGTGGCACTTAACTTGGTGCCTTCCACAGACCTCACCTGAAGGAACGTGAACACCTTTATTTGCATTTGTTTATGCAGGGAATATTTGACTGAAACACTGTTGAGGTAGACTGAAGTGGGTTGTTCTTTACACTTGACAGTCAGGATATGCAAAGATGCTGTATATTTCGTGATAAAAAAGTTTCCTAGTTATTACTTAAGGACTAGATGGTGAAAGAAGGCAGAACTTTGGAGCAAACAAGCCACTGAAAGCACATCTGAAATTTTTACCAGGGAAGTTTTGTTGGCAAGTGACAAGGTTGAATCAGAATTCACTAGTCCATTACTGAAGCATTCTTCACAAGTCTATTAAATCCAGCAGCAACTGGAAGGTCTTTCTTGTCAGAAGATTACATCCACTAAGCAACTTTGAAGTACCATGGAAAAAGACGTCCAAAGGTATTATTTTCAGTCTTAATTAAATCAGCAATCCAAACTGTTCATATGCAAATATGTGCTTTATAAGCACACAGGAAGCCCTAGGGATGACATAATGTCAAAGTTTTTCAACAGGCTCATCACCCTATACAGGAGCAATAAGGCCTATTCTAGCATTGGATTTACATTGTAACAACCAATTGTTGGGAAACAAAATGAAGAGTTACCTTCCTAGGATTCCTCTAGAAACTGTACCGGCCACACTAGAATGCAAGTTCCAAGAATAGGAACAAGGAGTCGGTCCTGGTTACATCTCATAGGCAGTGAATGCTCCCTGCTTTGGTGAGGAGCAGCTCACTGCAGATGGCTTCCAGTGAGTACTAGGAATTCCTTGTATTTCAGTCCTCGCTCTGAATTAATTCTGCAATTCTGAGCAGGCAAGCCAGAGGAACACCGAAGTGGAAATAACCTCAAGACCAATTTCCTTGTGCTCCTGCAGATGGAACAAATGTACTGCCTTAAAACTTGGCTATGATGCCGTTCAGAAATTCACTCCCAAGGGAGACCTGAAAGTTTGTGAGTTCTTCCAAGTACTTGATTTCAGAAGATATCTCAGATGTTCATACAGGAAAAGCAAGAATATGAACTTGTTTTTTAGGCACGTAAGTTTCACCGAAGTGGTGAGTTCTCAGTGGGTCCTGATTAAAACAAAAATTCTACAGAATTTTCCCATTGTATCAGAGCCTTCCAAGCAAGGTCATTCATAAGATTGTGATCAGTGTAACACAAGAGACACAGGAAAACAACCAGAAAAGCAAATGAGGGCTCAAATAAAGTTATTGTTTTGATACAAAAGTTCACAGTAAGTCTCATCTGTGATACAAAGGGTGTGGGATTGGAACAGTTGTAGTTCTATTTTCTGGAAGAATACAATAGGTACAGTAATGAAAAATTATTAAAAGCTCCTGCCTGTAAAGAAAGAAGAAAGCCAGAGAGTAGTGCTTTCTGTGATGGAACCACTCAGTCTGGTGAATCAGGTGGGAAAAGATGGAATAAAATCTGCAGACATTTACTAGAGTAACAGCCAAGTAAGCCCGTTTAACAGCTGTGACAGGAAACATGGAAGAGCAGAGCCACAACAGCTGCAGCTCTACTGCCTGGTGCAGCAGCTTCAGGCTTAAGGACAAACAGATCCCACTGATCAAGCAGCAGGAACAAATTAAGACACTGCTCAAAGTTTTGTAAATAAATGTAGTGTTTTATTAGCAGTAGTATTTTGTCAGCATATGAGTGTAGCAGGCGTGGGAAATGGAAGAGTTATGAGATCCAAGACAGGAATTTAGTAAAACAATATTCATCCCAGCCTCGAAGAGGTAGCTGCTGTCCCATCTGCCATCTTAATGGGACACTCCACAGCTGAACGATGCAGCTTTCAGAGGATGGGGTCATTTTTCTTAAGTCAATTAATGCTGTGAGCATTGAACACAGGTTGCTTCAGAACTAGCTGCTAGGGCTATCCTGTTTATCCATGCATTCTCTGACTTCCTGAAACACACAGGACTTTGCACATCTGGTAAAAAATGCACTGCCATGGGTAGGAATGAAAAGCCATAGCAAAGACAATCAGGAAGGCCATTTGCACTCATTTCTGGGGTCCATTCACTGCAGCAGCATGAACGCAAACCCTCCTTCCCCTTTTATGGGATTGTGAGGAGAGAGGTGGGTATATTTTTAAAAATTCCACATACAGTGTAGACTAAAGTCTGGAGCTTTTTTCCAAAGACAGGAAAAATAAAGTTTCACAACAGAAAATAATTCTATGAATGATCAGCATATAACAGCTGTATTAAAAAAAATCATGAAGATAATGCAATACTAAGTAAGTAAGTAAATAAGTACTAAGTAAGAAAAAAGTCAACAGTAGCCACTGAGTTAATATTTTCTTAATTTAAATTAGAAGACGTTTAATTGGAGCCAAAGGTGCAATCACTCCTAGTTTCACTAATCTAGATAATAAAGGGCAAGTTTAGACATGCAAGCAGGATACAGAAAGTGCATGTCTCCTTCAGGGAAACAGCTCCACTGGCACTCAGAACATGCTGGATGTCAAACTCTGCTCACCTTTCTACTTTCTGGTTTGAAATTGAAAGGTAGAAAAAAATAAAGGGTCCAACATAACAAACAATCCAGTGTAAAAAAAGAAGTCTCATAGTACACTTCACTAATGCAATTAAACCAATTAAAATACGGCTGAATTAACAAATGCCCATACAAGAATGGTACTGGTTTGTTAAACCATTTCTACTATAGCCAGTATATAAAATAATGGGAAATTATTATTAGAAAAATATTCCAGGAGCAGTTTATTCTTGTCCAGAACTATGATATTCCTAGAGTAATTATGGTTACTACATAACTAGGGTTACAAAGTAATCTGGACTGACAGCTTTGCTTGAGAAAAGAGTCCATGGTCCACTGCAGTGTTTGGGCAATAATATGCCAAAACCAAAGTGAGATTTCTCACATTTGTTTAAAATTCTATAGTTGTATCAGCTGAACTGGTTTTAAGATTTACATAAACAAAATCTTCAAGTTCGTTATCCAAAGGAATAAGTGTTTTAACAGCTAAAATTTCTGAACTGCATATACTCACTAAATCAGGTATTAATGTCTAATGGAGTAACAAAATTAATTAACTGAAAATGCTCAGGAAAGCACATGTTGTTCATTCGCATAACACGCCACAGAGAAATATTTTGTATGGGATTTAGGGGGATAGAGCAAAGCTGATACCTGTCTTTACACAGTTTGTGTGTTCATTAAATGGGCTTTTAAATTTGTCTTACATTTGCCCTTTTTTTTCCTCTGTTCTGGTAACATTACACAAAAGTATAAATACACAAACCATTTGACACCAGGCCTTATAACAGACTGTTATCACCTTTAGGATTTCACTTGCAACTTCGCCTCTGTGTATATAAAGGAGTTTTTCTCTTAACAGAGGTCACTGTCAACAAAAAAAAAACAAATTCAAGGCTGGTAGAAAACCATCAGTAACTAAAAATCTGCCCAGTGGTACTAGGCAAATGGAAGATATGCAGGTCCAAGAGGAAAAATTTAAGATGCAACTACTTGGGTGCTTGAAAATGCAGAGAAGGCTTTTGCCAGCAGAAACCTGACCTGGCTCAAAAAATAGGACCTTATCATTCAAGTAGTAAGGGCTCAGATGCTTAGAAACTGTTGTTTCTCTATTTTTCTCAAACTGTGAAGGTCAGTAAGGTATAAAATTTTCAGTTTAGAAAATAATGAAATTGACATAAACCAGGGAAAACCTCAGGGAAAAGCATATGACTTAAGGCAACCCCATGTCAGTTAGGTGTCAAGTGACTGTGGTCTTAGCAGAAGAAAGGAGCAAAATGAATTTGATAAGGTTGAGCAGCACCTACCTAAAATCCAGCTTCAAAACCCAGAAAATAACATGATCTTACAAGTTATTTCCTTGAGAAGTTTGCACAATATTATTAAAGGCAAGTAAAATGACACCTTTATGTTTCAGGACATATTTTGCCAAATATCTTCACTGACTACAGAACCTGTGGAAGCTGTGTTTTGTTTCAGGCTCACACTGAATACTGAGAAACTGGTTTGACCAACCAGTTCTTGCATAATTTGAGATAACCGGAAGTTCAGAAGCATTGAATCAGATTTCATTTTGTTCCTTCACTAGCCCCTGTTCTTAAATATGCATCTATGTTCTATGTGTAGATCATCACAATGGTCAATCAATACCTTTGAAGTACCACAAAGTTCTCAAGTTTACATAAGATGATTGCCTCAGCTTTAGTCTACAGAGTATTTTTGCATGAGACAAACAAGAGTCCTCCCTGTCAGACTGGACCCAAAGTAACTCACTTTTACACTGGAATTCCTCAAAAACGCCTCTGAAACACTTCAGTACACAGCATTTGTTTGGCTCTTTCTTTGTTAAAAAAGAATCACTCCAAAGGTGAGACAATTCCTAACCCCTCAAATGGAAGGGCAACATCTGAAGTCTTCACCTAAATTTGCTCCAAGAAATTTTGCAGCTAAAGTTTTAGACTAGTTTAGTTCAGATGAGTTTCATTCTAGACTATTTTTTCTAGACAGAAAATGCTTGAATCATCTGTATGAGCCATACCCTTGGGACTGTAAATTCAGCAATCATTAGGTAAACACCAAGATCTAAAGCTGGAATAAAGAACATACCCTGCACCAGAGTCCACAGAGGAAAGAGCTCCTGTAGAGTCTTAGAAGGAATGACGACACTCTGCCCCAGCTCCTACCGGACAGGTGTGCAGAGAGAATCTAGACTCAGCCATGTCTGTGTTCTGCTGAATCTGAGTTTAAACAAGTTTGAAAAGTGGTTTGGTAAGTACTCTGTTTAATGTTACTCTAATCCTAAAAAAATAGCTACCATGAGTCTTGACCTTATCAACAAGATTTAAACATCAAAACATCTGCATAGTCGAGATGAATTGAAACATTTTCTCAGAGCAGGTTACAGATGTGATCAACTTCTTACTTTAAAGCATGGCAAGTTAACAGTTTCATTGTGGCCATTTGTTCAGCACAGTGTGAGAGCATAAGACCACCTAAGCACTGCAAGATAAATTAAAACTCATATGTGGAAAGGACTATTGAAAGTTATCTACATTTACAGTTCAATCACACATTTTTATTTAACATCAGTATACAGAGGACAACCCCAGCAAGTTATTTTGTAATGTCAAGTATTTAGTAAAGTTCTTCAGCTGTAACAGTGACAATAGAACAGCTAAAAATAAGCAGTATGAAACAAACATGATCTTCTTAAAATTATAAATATACCAACAATACTTCTTAAAGCTTAATTATTGCAACAGTTAAATTAACAATAGTTCATGTTAGAAAGGCTCTATGAAATTTATTCAAGTTGTCAAGAAATTAGATGGAAGTGTAAAAAGGAAATACATATGAATTTTACTTTTGATTTTCACTAAAGGTAGTCAATACAATTTTGTACAGTATCACCTAACATGTCAATCTTTAACAAACTCCAGTATACAGAATCATAAAATGCAGAAAAAATAGTTTAATCTTTACATGTAAATTGACAGTAAATTAACTGACACAAATTTTATTATTGTAACATAAGCAGGCCAGCATTTTAAATATTAATTTAGTAGTTTTATGTTGTTAAAGGGGCAGACATATACAGTCATTCCAAGTACATACTCAAATTTTAAGAGGTGATAATTCAGAACAGGGGTTTTCTAGAAAGTGTTTAGTAAAAGTCATGTTATTTCCTAATCCAGACATCCTCATCATAAAGCCTTTACAGGGTTATGATCTCTCCTGGCTTTACTGGAGCCACTTGTCACACCTCCTCACACACGCACACACACATACCTTGCTATAAATATCACACCAGTGTACTCTAGGTTTAATTCACCCTGATAATGCGGGTATGCCATGTGCAACTTTGCTATTGTGCACATTACAGAAAGCTTCAAATTTTAGCATGGTAACCTGAAGTTGTATAGCTGTGTTTCAGTTTAACTATAATCATCCCTGAAGTTTATACAGATACCGTATCACGTTAAAAGAAATCTATTTGATAGTACTTAAATACCAGCAATTGAACTTCAATTGTAATGATGAAATGCTCCTTTCCACTGAGGAAGAATTAGTATGTATAGCTGCTCGTCTCACTCAAATATAGTACATGAATGTTTAAGTACTTTCACTAAAACAAGTCATACTAAAACATGATACTGTACTACAATTGTAGTTAACTAGAAAATTCAAGGATGTTATAATTTAAGTCTAAGTTTTCCTGTACAATAAGTCAAATAAATAAATTCCATGTGCATTTGTTTTACAAAGTGGTAGGATGTTTCTCTTGCTAGGTTATACACTGCCATTTCACCTGGGGGTACTTCTGGCCAATCTTACCTTGAGCTTTCTGACACAGGGAACTCAGCAGCAACTTTCATTCCCATAAAATGGAGTCACTGCACAGACAGTGAACAGTCAGTTCTAAAGTCCAGCACGGAAATCATGTAAGTAGTTACTCTGACCACTGAGTTCAGAGAAAACTTATTTTCCATATCCAAGCAATACTTAAGGGTTTTGTGGGTTGGTTTTGTTGGGTTTTTTAATTGCTTCTGCAGATCCTGTAATTCAGTTTGATGTAGCTATAAAGATAGCACAATAAAGTTTACTTTTGTTCCTTCCAAATTCTGTTTCTATGTTTTCATATTAATCCAACAGTTCTGTAATCCCATTTAAGTTTCCCATCAGGGCCTGGGAAAGACAGGGGAGAAAGATGACAGCTAATTGTCACCATGTTGTGAAGAAAAGTTCATACTCTTGTTAAGGCAACCTATTTATCTGACCGCCCTGAACCTTCTTTCAACCAGCTCACAAAAAAAAAAAAGAGACTAAAAATTTGAAACTAATGAACACTGAGCCTCATTCAACTTGTTTCTAATTGAATTTTGTCATTCGCTTCACTGACTGGGAACTGGCAGAGCAGTTCAGGAAGTGCAATGTAAGAACAGTACACCCCATGAGGAAGCTCAAGGTATGATTTTGTACACACCAAAGCAGTAATTTGGAAAGTTCATAAACAAATTGTCAGGACACTGTCAGCACTGTACAGACTATCAACTATCACAGGGATCATGGCTGAAGAGACACTTCTGGATTTCTTTTCCACTCAGGGCAGAACAAGCCCAACCAGAAAAATAAACAGAACTTGTCATACACTGTCCAATTATCCAGTGCATGTTTTGATGGCTGTTGGAAATGAGAGGGAAAGGTAGCACTGGCACAATGGAAATTACATTAGACACTGCACTACCTCCTTTGCTTTTCCATCCAATTCTTTCTTTAGGCTGGCAGTGGCATCAATTTAATGAAGGCTTTTTGATGCAATGATGGAAGCAGCAGCAAGACTCAGAGGCTTTCACTCTATGGAGATGGCAGACAAAAACGTGGCAGAGCTTTAAGATCACTCGGGGAGCCATATGTCAAAGGAAGACTAGAAATAGCAACTTTAAAGCCCAGAGTAATGGGACATCCTAGGATAAAACAGCTGGTGAAACAGAAATGATGGTATATAACCCAGTAAGAAAGACATCACCTTGAGTGTTTTATACTCTGACAATTCTCATTAAATAAAATTAAGTGCTTTCCTATAAACAAAAAGGATGCTCATAATGTCCTTCTGGCATAAGTATTTTCCTAACAAAGCCCTGTAAACATGCCACCAAAATTTAGTTTTTACCAGCAGAGTGAGCTCACTAGAAATGCAAGTGAAATCAGAAAAACAAATTAATTTGAAAATTTCTAAGTAAATACATCCTAAAGAATATGGCATTTACATCAGTGTGCAATATATTAATTTTGAAAGTGATAACTTCAGCATGAAAATTACTTACCTGTAGTTAAAGTTTTCCATATTGGCCAATACATAAATCCTGATTTTTGGTACTGCATACTTTATCTCTGAAATATTTGAAATGTCATATTCCAAATCAAAGTCAATACACAAAAATATTTAAGTTATACTCAGTCTAACAAAACCCACCTCAGCCACTGAAAATAAATGTGACAGTGTAGTGTTCAATAGTATGCAAAGGAGTTTTAGAACAAAAAGGAAAACGTAGCTCACAATAACAATCTGAGGCACTGCTGTAATTAATAAAATGTGAAGTGCACTGACTCACAAAAGTATAATTGCTTTAATACTTTCATTTTGAGCAAATGTTTTAAATAATTTAGCGTTTTAAGGGAGTGCTTTTTTTTTTAATTAATGCTGGATTTGTAGGTGTCAGGCAAAAAAAACCCCTTTTAAGTAACACCCTCCTCCCTTCTCCCATAAAGGGGTTTTCATTTTTAAGTTTTAGATTCAACCTTTAAATATGCATTAAGATGCAGAACAGATACAGATTTTTATGCATACCTATGCTGTGACAGATTTGGTAAGATCTCAAAAAAGCCTACATTATACAAACAATTTTAAGAAAAATTACTGAGTTTTACTTGCAAGTTTATAGTAATGAAGATGTGGCATCTAAATATATACAGTACCTCTACTTCAAAAGTCAGATTTATGAACCAAATGGTTAAAATCTAACAAACAACAGATTTTCATCTAAGTTGCTCAACATGGCATTATTCAGGTATTACCAAATCATTTCTTTTACTTCAGATGATAATCTACATCCCCTTTCAGAAATTTTCACAAAAATAATGGTCCTTTTTCTCAGATCAGTTCTGGAAATGTTTTCATAGCTGTATTCCTTTGAACTGTTGCTGGCAGGCAGAGCTATTGTAGCACAAAGTACTTTTTAATGTAAAGAATCACCACATGTAGCTTCAGTCAAAATTTAGCTATCTATACATTGGCCAGAAGAAAAATAAAATATTATAGGTGTTCAAGTGCATCAACAACAAGAGTGAAAACTAGTAATAGACTAATGTAGGTTCAGCTGATGGAACAGTTGCCATCATAAACACGAGCTTGTAGTGGTTGAACTGCCTAACAAACCTGACAGGAACAGAACACTGAAACTACTGAGAGAAAGCTCGCAGGATTTTCCCTAACTTAAATACATAAATCAAAACCTGTCTAAAATTAGAGTTCCTTGATAATACTGATTCACAATTCAAGAGCATAAACTACAGTCAGTACAGGGCTCACGAATCTGCATAAAATGGCTGATGTTGTGATAAGAAGTGGTTTCACATTAATGGCAGGCCACCACAGAAAAGTATGGAGGAATAAAACACTTTGGTTTTCATTTTTTCAGAGGCTCACGTTTCTCATTAGACTTAGAAGCAGCAGCTTTTCATAAGCTACTCTCATTGGGAGTGCTTATTTTGTAGAAAACATTAGAAGGATTATGATTATTTTAGTGTTTGACAGGTTTTACTTCAATTTTTACATAAATAGCTTTCACCATATTGTGGTTATGCTTAAGTATAAGAACACTGATCAATAGTTTAGATGCACAGTATTTATTTCTTCTGCTGGAAGGCAACTATATTTAATAATTGTATCCAAGACACTTCAAATCATTCAGAAATATGGCATGCAGTATCCAAAAGTATGGCTCTGAGGATATTTTTTTTACATTAAGCATAAAGAAATTTTATATTCAACATTCATTATATTTCAAGAAAACTATCTATTCAGAGTTCTAGTTCTTTGATGCAGCATTAAGGATTAAAACTTACCACTTTACCAGGCCTTGCCCATGTGCAAATAAATCCCTCCTGACAAGCAGTGACTATACAGTCTTCAAGAAAAATTAACACAGTCAGTCTTTCATGTGCTATCTTTTTACAGATAAGAGGCTCTAACAAGGGAACATCTTCCATTCGGGGACAGAGAGGTGTTCCCAAAGTTTTAGCTGGGTCCGTTTTGGTTTTAGTAACTAGGTTCAGTTTGTCACTGCTCTTGCTAGATATATGTCCCATGCTATGGTTTCTCTTGTGATCTTTTTCATGGTGTCTTTCCTTCCGATCGTGTAGCGATAAGGTTGCAAATTTACTAACGCCAGAAGCAATGGCACCATCCATGACACTGCTTTTACTGCCAGCATTTGAGACTGCAGAGTGTGGAAGGCTGTTTGACCGTGGAAGAGGAGGGGGTACAGAGTTTCCAGGTGTTGTGATACTGTTTCCATTACTTCCTGGGTTAGTTCCACCACTTCCCGCAGGTGGACTTGTGGCATTCATGACATTTGTATGTGTCCTTGCTCTTGAGAGAGGTTGGTGGGGGAAGAGGATATCTTCTGTAAGATCCCACAAACAGAGCTGTGTGTCCTGGCCTACTGAACCAAATCTATACGTAACACTTACTGGACGACTGTCTGTAGAGTTCCTTTTGGATAGTCTAGATTGCGTGCTATTTGCTCGATCTCTGCCAAAATGAAGGTCTTGGAAATCCTCATCACTTCCACTAAATTCCATCGGGTCACTCTCTTCTACACTAGTGGTATACGGATCAAACGCAACGACACTGACCCACGATTTATGGCCGTGGCCTCTCGCTATAACTCGACAGTCCACGAAAGACCAAACTGTCACCAAGTCATCCTCTCCGCCTGTCACTATGTATTTCCCATCGGGGCTCCAACACACACACAGCAGTCCTCCAAAGTAGCTTTTCATTGTACCATGCAATTCCACTGAATCAAAGTTAAACACGCGAAGAAAACCATCCTGGCTCACACAGGCCAAGAACTTCCCATCAGGGGAAAAGGCAAATTCATTCAGGGCACCCTCACCTACTGTCCATTTAAGCAGAGGGTTTCTTGTGGATTTGCTCTTGCAAGTATGCACTGCAAAACTCTCTCCTTGTTTAAGTAGCTGGTAGTGCGGGGCTGTGGTACCACAAGTGTGCTCCACGTTATACAAGTACATATTGCCACTGGAATGAGCTACTAGGAAAAGGCTTTCCGAACCTGGTACCCATTTTACACAGGTTACTCTGGACTTGTCTATTAGTCTCTGTGAAAAACAAAGAAGATACACATCAGAAACTCTGAAAATTAAAGTTTTCATGATTAACTGTAACTCTGAGCTTTCTGGGGAGCAACACTTAAAGTGAACTTAACTTTCTAGACAGGAACCATGTTACTGTATTTGCAAAAACTTATAGCCAGTAAAGAGGAAATTATTTTCAGACAAAGTGCTTTAAAAGCTTATTATTATGGTCCATGACTATACTTCAGTTAAGCCAATCTGTTATGAATCTAAAGGCAGTGCTCTTTGGTTTACATTTCCCTGTGTAGGTTGAAATACATGAGAAGGAAACAAGAAAACATTGAATAAGCTAAAGGGAAAAAAAGCAGTTACTCATCTGTATTATATAGCAAACAGGTTACAAATCAACAAGAGTAAATTTAGGCTCTGATTTTATCTGAAATTGCAAATAAAATCCAACCTCTGAAAAAAAACTCTACCAGCTTTTATTGATTCAGGGAGCAAAGGCTGCATACACAGTAACCCTGTTATCAAGTGGCTGGAAAGTCAGTAGGTAAATGCACGTGGCTGGGTGACTTTTCAGTTTGGAATCCTCAACCTCCAATTATTTTTCTTTCAATAGTCAAGGACCTGTCAATACCCTGTTACCATTGATTAAGCACTTTCCTTTAAAACAAAACATTTTAATAGAGTTCATCACTGCAAAAGAATGCATACACATTAAACAAACATTCCTGGTCATAATGTCTTCAATGCTATAAGGACTGAGAGGTAAAGTTTGACTCTTTTGACTACTGTAGTTTTGGTGGACCTCCACAACTTACCATGTTGCCCGTGGCACCACTCAGCTGCAACTTGCAGACAAGTAATTCTTTACCAGCACATTCAATATTTGTATTTGTCATACTGATTGTAAGCAGAAAGAAAAGCTGAGCTACACAAAAGGCAAGAGTGCAAATATAAAGAACCTAAGAAATACCAGAATAAGTTACAAAAGCCCTAAAAATAAAGAAGAAGAAAAACCCAAAACCTTGCTATGCTGTTTATCATACACCTGTTGTGGAACTGTCGCTGGAAAACAGCACCTGGCCATTTTACATTACACTTCTGCTGCTGTCAACCTCAGTGTAAAACCAGAAAGTCTCTCTCCTGTAATTTTTCATTGGTTAAAACAGCCATGGTGTATTTGAGAGCTGAGAGATGTAACTAAATATGGCAAAGTTCTTCAAATGGAGTAGCTTTAAAATAATACAGTCTGTGATTCTGTTGTGATATTTTAACTAGTTTGTCATGTATTCACTGATACATATCATGCATGTCTCAATAATGATGGTATCAGAAATCTGAGAAAATTACCTGGCACACACCAGGAGAAGATGGGCAGAGAACACCAGCCCAGCTGGTTTCCTGTAGGAACCAGTCTTCTCATTGCCAATATGGCAACAAAAGCAAAATTTCTCGCTCTCTGCTAAGGCAGCTCAATACAACCTCCACTTGTAAGAGCACCTGCTCAATCTTTATTCCATGTCCATGTCCATTTAATGTCCATAGCCATGTTGGGCTACATGATCCTAAGTACTGCAAAGAAACCCTGCAAACCTCATCTTTACTTTAAGGAGGCTGTGAAAAATGGAAGATTACAATTTGCAATGAGAACAGATCAGCTCATGGAGACAAGACGCAGAGAGACTTTAATCTGACGTGTACAAGTGACTACAGCACATCCCTTTCTCCAGATAAAAAACTCTGAAGTTATGACTTTTGAGAGTCTTAAAAGCTTTCAACTAGGTTCACAAAGTTCTGCAGCACAACAAAGCCGTTGCTGCAGACAGTAGGAGTAGATACATTACAATAATGGTCTGAATGCAGTACCACCACATCAGTGAGGGATGTGAGATAAAGAGCTTATGTTCAGTTTGATGGGAGAATAGTAAGTGAAGAAGCTTCACTCAGCAGTTAGAAACACAAGCCAAAATTATCTTGGTTATGTTTTGAAGAACTTGAAGGGACAAAATTACAGGCACAGGCCACAAAGGACTGAAAAATCTGAGGCAATCAAAGAATACACGTTAAGATCTTATACAGCTTCGGCAATAAAGATATAGGACAAGTTTATTAGGAAAAACAATGCAGCTCAAGGCTTCAGTTTAGATTTTAAGAAGGATTAAAAAGTAAGATGAAAAAGCACTGGCTAGTTTGATAATAACCAACTACCACCAGGAAACAACTGAATCTGTGAGGTATATTTGACTGGTTTGGGGAGTAAGAAAATATCACTGGTTTAATTTTGACACAGCTGGAAGGAGCACCACTGTGGACACAGATGGATTTATGCTGGCAGCCACAAGCTGCACAGGATCTTATCACTCACCTCAGCCTGTCAAGTTCCTATCATCTTCTACATGAATAGAATTAAAAAAAAAAAAAAGAGTAATAACTTAAGACTATGCTAGGGCTATTCCATTTTATGTTCAACATAACCTATCGTAACAGGTTGATTTATTTCATGTATCATATATATTCTGATTGCTCCACCACAGCTGATAGTCAAAGCAGAGATTTGGGCTACCTGAAGCACCAAATTACTCACAGGATAGGTGGTGAATTCTATTACCTCTAGCGTAAGCTGGATCTGTAGAACAATGTTAACACTCATTCAGACTACCTCATGCCTATGGTTATTCCTAAAGTCAAAATATACTCAAAACCCAATAGGCACCTTCATCTTGAAGCAAATGAACTGGTTCAAACATCAGTGCTCACTTTGAAAGGGGCTTTAAATACAAGCCAGAACTTACAAACACATCTAGGGCAAACTCCAATACTGTAATTGACAGAATAAAATATTATTTAACTTTTAAAAGTTGGTTGCAGATAAGGTCAGCGTAGGAAACAAGAATTTGTCATTTAACTGTAGACTACTGTGTGTGTAGTTTTGGTAGCACTGAGCAAATCCTTACATTAGCTTGGTAGAAGAGAGATAATCTCATTTAAATTTCCACCAAACTGTCAAAAGGCGTATTTCCATCACACTGTAGTGATCTACCTATAGCACAGACAGAAAGCAATACTGGCTGATGGAAGTGGCTTCAGTGCTTCCAGCAGTTGGGAATACCACAGGAACTATTCACCAGCAACACAGCTTTGCACTGTAGTCACCAGACAGTAAACACCATCAATGCCTGGGAATGTGCACTGGGCCTTGATATAAGTTTTCCACCAGAAGTTTTTCCTCAAAGCAACTATAGCTTAGCTACAGGAGTGGGAACTATTCTGTGATATGAAACCAGCTGTTTAGAGTATGTCTGCTACCCTTCTTAATACTTACAGTATTATTGTACAAGAATAAATAAGACACTTTTTCAGGGAGGATGGGTGGGGGTGGTAGGACTATGCTAAAATTAACATTTCAACTACTTATACAGAGGTTTCTACCAACAGACTAAAGGTTCATTAAAAGATTCTCCAGTACTATTTTCCAGTCAACACAAGCAGAGACAGAGCAGTTGGGACAAGGCCAGGTAGGAAGAAAAACGCCCCTCTTCTGATCTACATGCAGCTACTTTTAGAAAGCTGAGGAGGAATTAGATCTAATTATAAAACATCCCCAGTGAGAACAATACTTCAATCTTCTTTGCACAAGGAAGGAGCAAAGCAACACATCTCTCTGAGGCGGGAAAGGTATAATTTGAAAGCTGAGCAAAGCTTAACTTCATCTGTAAAGTTCTAACCTAGATTTGAAATTTCAAAAAAGAAAAGAAAAACAAGAGACCTGCAAACCTCTCTGCAGAGCTGGATTAAAACAAAAAAGGAGCAAGAGAACAATCCCCAAAATAAAATCACCTCCCCCCTAAACCACCCAAATTCACACAGCTTATCCTCTGCAGAAAATGTGTCACAAGTCATCCCAGTTACCAGATTTCTTTCCTTATTAGCATCTGGACACTTAGCCTCTAAGAATGTCAATGCTACCAGATCCTCAGAGCCAGTGGCCCTGTAATTTCGCATTAGTGCTCCTCATAGTACTCCTTTATCTTTCCTTACTGCACAGCAGCAGAAAAAGCAGATGGAGAGTTTCTCTCTGAACATCACATAAAGACCTCAAACGCTCAGCATTTCTGTGCACTCAGCTTTATGTCCCATATCCAAGCAAGTCTTTAGGAACACTTGATATAGGCAGTTTCTGCTGTAACGTCCTGAACATAAAAATTTGTATTTTTAACTTATTTAATATTTTTACTATAATATATGAGTTAAATAACAGCTTAAAATTTTCTTCTTCATTGGCAACCAGAAGCCTCAGAAACAACTGAATTCAGAGCACACGCAGCAACATTTATTTCCATCTGTAAACTGTCCTCAACTCTAGTAACAGTATTATCCAAACTAGAAAATCCTTATTTTTAATCTTAAACCCCACAAGATGCCTTTATCTTTTCACGATGAATAACACTTTTATGTAAGTACTCCAAGCCAGTGGAACAGCTGAAAAACAAAGGCAGTGACTGAACAATAAGCTACGCAGGCAAGTGGAGCTATATCTACTGAACTTTGAAAATCTAGGAACTTCAATATCACAAACACATTGCATGCAACAATATTAAGATTTCTACTTACTTCCTCATTAAATAATTTGCTAGTTTCTTTTTTAATAGGGTCTATAAGTTGGACCTGGCCTGCAGAGAAGCCCACTAGAAGTGACACACTTTCTGCTGTGGCTGTTAAGTGATTGAAGTCATGGCATGTAGGCTGTGTTCCTTTGTATATCCTTTTGTCTATTGGTTTACTCAAGTCCGCAGCCTGCAAAGAGAACAAACAGAATTCAGACAGTTTATCACAATATGTGCACATAACCACATCTATTTAAAAATAATGTTTATACCACACAACAATTTATGCAGTCACAAAGCCTTACTTTAAAAAGCAGCTCTGCATTTATGAGACATCCAAGAGCTTATCAAAATGTTTCTTTATATTATGCAAGGATACAAACTACAGCTGCCCTTGCCTTTGCACTTACAGCACATGACAAACGAGTGACAACCACTCAGGAGCATGAAGGCTCCTGTGAGTTCTCAAGACACCAGAAGGCTTCTCCTGCCCAGAGACAGAGACAAGATACCTTCTACTTTTCTAGTAGCACTTTCTCAGTATTGAGTACAACAAATTTTGCATTAAAAATACCATATTCTCAATCACACAGTTCTTGAACTATAAGTCTATCCTTTAACAAGTAACAGGCAAACAAATGATACTGTTCTCCATAATCACAAAAAATGATCAACCAGCTCCAAAGAGAACATTTTCTAGGAACAGTGACTCAAGATACTGATACTTCGATTATAAAATACATTTTACACCACTGAGCTACAAAGTAATTCGCTTCTGAAAATAAAATTCAAATATAGCTCAGACAAAGTAAGTGCTAACAAAACTGAGGAATTTCAATATAAACAAATTAAGATCTAGCACTAAGTGTCAGAAGAATCAAAAGGAACAGAAAAGCAATTTAAAATGCTCCCTCACTTGTGTCACCCGTGTTTATCCCTGTATCACTTCTGAACAGACAAATAAATCTTTCATCATCCAGAGATTAAACCCTACACATTTAATATGCAAGATCATTCATCAGGTTCAACCTTGTTTTTTAACCTCCCTATTTACTAGGTTCAGAGTCTGTAATTAGAAAGCTGCAGATACTCAACAATATTTCAAGCCTCAGATGTAGCTGTGATTTGGGGCTCAGCTTCTAATTTTGATATATACTTTTTCAGTATATTTAGTCAGAGGAAATCACGCCAGCAATAAAAGAGAAAGTAAACAAGCTTCACATAAAATAGAATTGCTCCAGACCATTAAACCTTGGAGGACAAGGTCTGAAAAGCAAGAGATCTTTGGTATTCATAGAGCTACACAGAGAGAAACTAGACCTGTCAGTAGGGAAAAATCCTAACCAGCTACACAGGTGAGCTATTTCCAAAGGCAAATTTAACTACAGGATATGCATGACAAGCATTTACACACAACAATATTAAAGCTGCACTTATGTTTTGCAGCATATATTATAAACCAGTTTAATCAGGTGTACCATCTCCTGATTAAAAACTCCAAAATGAGATGATGTATTACAATTTCTGAACTCAGCAGACTAAAACGTTACTCCCCAGAGTCCAGAGATCCATTATAAGCCAAAAGAGAATATTACCAACACCTCTTCAAGGAGAAATTAAATAGAATACTAGTTCTACTGGGAGATGACAGGATAATGTGCATGCACAGAGCTGATGTAAATCTGTGATTTGAAGCTGAAAGATCAAATCCTAAAGGCCTTGCAGTTATGTCTTAGACTGTGTAGCATTCCCTTGTCCTGTATCACTACAAACAAGTGATGTCAAGAGAGAACTCTCAGAACTGAGGCAGCATTTCTGTCTGGAAGAGGACAAACGCATAGCCATTCCTCAAATAAATGCAGAATTAAAGAAAACTCATGAGACTCTAAGTTCTCTCCTCTGGACAGAAGTTGCAGCAGGACTCAATGCCTAAGAATGAAGATCCATTCTAAAGTAAACACAGCTTGCTCTGAATCATACTGAATGACCAGAGAACCACAGACTCTCCGAGCCAGCAGAGGATACAGCATCGCCACCTTCTTCTGAATCCTCACTGTCCCTTTAAGCAGCAAAGAACCAATAGCTGGCTTTGTTCAAATTACATCTTGCTCTTTTGTCTGGGTGAGGTTTTACATCACGAGCTTTTGTTTTTGTTGTCCAACAACTTTGGTGTGACTGAAGTTCCCTGTCTCATGAAACTGTGTGGTAATAGACAAGCAACACATGAAATTCTGATAAATTAAATCTAAGCACTTCACTGTGCTTATTCTAGCTGTTCTCTGGGAACCAGATGGCAGTGAGAATCTGTGTGAACTTAAGTATAAATAAACTAATTCAACCCAGAATTAACCAGGCTTCTACTGACAGCAATGCCCTGCCTTTTGTTTACATTCAGCTACTGCTTTCAGTTACAGCTCAGTTGTCTCATTGAGAGAAGTCAAATCTTCAAGCACTAAAGTACTGCTTTGGTCTCTTAACTGAAAGAGAGTAGAATCAATGGGCACAGGAACTAGGAGACATTTTCTTTATTTTTGCATGAAGGTTGCTATAGAATTTTGCTAAGAACAAGGAAAGTGCTTACTCATAAAATTCAATCACACCTGGGACTCTGCATTTCATTAGCTCACCACTAAGCCCCATTTGCTATTTTGTGAAAGATGTGATTCTCAGAGAAAAGCTTTTACATGAGATCTGTGTCCATTAGAAACTATCAAATCCTAGGATCTGACACTCTTTACTGAACAAAGTGATATGAACAGCCCCCCACTTAGAACTGGTGATGTGCTTTCAAAAAACCCAGAAAAAATTTGGGATGAAGTGTTGCCAGGAGGGGAGGTTAAAAGCACAGGAACAGACACCCTCACCACAGCAGCTGGCAGCAAGCTATTTGCACACTTCTTGTCCCAATGCCTTTAAAGTTTTCTTCTGAAAAACACTCAGCACTATTCCAGCCTGTCCACTCTGAAAAACTTCCTCAATTGTGGATGGTTCATGATGAGATCAACACTTCCAGCAGTCACAACTGAAAGCAGAATGGCATCAACAGCTTCCAAGTCCTACCTCTGAACAGATTAAAATTCCACCTTAAGAGAGCCTCACACTTGCTCACAGAAGAAAAACTGAACGTTTAGGTTTGTGAATTAATTCATACTCGATGAATTGATACAGCTAATGATGAACTCATACTCTAGAAATATAAGATGAACCATGTAACTGTTTGGGGGACTTCCTCATTTAGTCTCATTTAGTTAACTCTCACAGCACACTGTTTTAGCAAAATTACTCCCACTCTGATGAGGAGGGAGGGAGGAAAAAAAATAATCTAACAGTCTAAAAGTAGCCCATTCACCCTGGACTCATGACTTCCAGTAGAAGGGCAGTCAAATGGAACATATTAATCACAGCTTTAACTACATAAACATTAAGAAAAAATGGCAGGAAAAAAACAACAAAAAACAATTTCCTTAGTCTGAAGCAAATATTTAAGTATTCAGATTCTCATGTCTGAAATGTCTGATTAGGATGGGCATCAATAACCTTGATTCTGTAGCTGTACGTAATGCTAAAGTCAAAGCCAAAGATTAATATCTATCCAAGATTTATTTTATTGATCCAAGACTTAGAGCTTTCATAATAAGATTGCCTAAACAGTGAATCACATTATTCTAAGTCAGTATTTAATCACACTCCTTGACAGATGTTATTTCTTCCTATATATTTTCCTCTCCTCGCTTTCTGCAAATTTTATTTGAATGAAATGTGTCATACATGTTACAATTCTTCCCAAGCTGAAAACGTTGCAAAATATTAAATACTTTTACTAATGTATTATTTATTAATTTATTTTATTAAATTATATGTAATTTTATTGTTTATTTAATATATTTATTATTGTATTCATCAAAAGGCTTCCATTAGATACTTAATAGTATTTAATACTACATTTGCCAGGAGACTGGCTTCCAATGGTCATAGCTGTAAGTGAGATTGAGACAGAATAGTGAAGCATTTAATAAAAATTTTACTGCCAAAAAATCCTCATATGAAAATCTCTCTTGTTGAGAGAATTAATTGATCTTGAACAGCAGATTACAGATTGGCCATGTATGTACAGCTCTAGTGCACAATATAAGAGAAGACACACAGAACTAAGACAATGCACTTTTGAAAACAATTTTCTCAGTATTTCTGGAGCTTGGAATTCATAACTGATTACCTGTAACCTGCTATCTCTTCCACACTGTGCTGTCCAGGGATTTAAGGGTTCCTGGTCTAAAAACAGAACAATTTGAGAAAGCTGTGCTTATTATAATGCTGAGAAATCAACTCTTAGAATTCTTACTAAATGAGTTTCTTTGAACTTCCCAGATGCTCTTTAAAACTTAGCTGAAAAAAGAGGCAAGGCAACCCTTGCTGGAGCCTGATTTACAGAATCACCTGTGAACAGGACAGAACCCTCCCAGACTCTCTCCCTACATTAGCAAGGACCGGGAAAACTAAACTTGTTTATGCTTCCTCCATGTCTGTGCTGGTCTCCTCCTTCCTGCAGAGCTAGCTGAAGGACAGAAAGCTGAGGCACCCAAGAAAGAGGAGTTATCACAGGCACTCTTGCAGAACTTTCTGGCCAACTCCGTGCCTTATTTCTGTACACAAGTTCCTGACAGAAATACCAGCGTCAATACTTCACACTGGGCATCTCTCTACTTTATTACCACAGGAGTGGATTTCCAGATTCTTTTGTTTTATAATCCAAATACAGATCACTTAATATTAGCAACAGAGTAATTTGTAGTTACATCACTGTTATTTCAAGCTGATCTGATCTCACAGCTGACCCTGCTTGGGGCATGTAGACTGGAGACTCTCAGAGGTTCCTTCCAACCTGAATAGCCCTGGAATCCTAATCTTAGGATCAACGAAAGCAGCAGCAACAGGGCCACTCCCAGTTATTTAACAGGTCTGGGTTGCATCTTAAAGGAACTTCAGGAAGCAAAAACCACCAGGAACAAGTTGGTTGTCTTTCCCTATAAAGACCACTGATGTAAAGCAAAAGTTCTGCTTAGTTTATATAAAATACACAACAAAGTCCAGGCAACACTTCCTGCAAGTACAAAGCCCTAAGAAAACACTCTTCAGTGCAGCTGACAGTGCCACAGACTGTCAGTAGCAAACCGGCTGCTACAAACAAAA